TCTTAAGTTATTTAAATTTATCAATAGTATTTTTAATTATTTTATTTCACTTTATTTTATTTTATCAATTCTTAGCATAAATATTCTCACGCTATTTCTAATTTATTTTAAATATTTTTAAGTTCTTATTTTATCTGTTAGGCATAAGTTGCGTGGTATTATCCACAATATGATATTTCTTATCATAATAGATAAATAACAACTTTCTCTTCTCAAATTTAAATAAGTTTTATCATTTTCTTTATGATGAAAGATTTGATTAATTTCTCTCTATTTATTCCTTATTTTTGCTATTCTATTGTTCAATAAATAATATTATTACATTGTTATGTGGCTTTCATTAGCTTGTTTAATTTAGTATCTATTTCTACCACTCTTATTTTAGTATTAATCATAAAAGTTAATTTCTTATTTGTTTGAACACATTATATCTGATGATAATATTTTCATTATCATTTTATTTCTCTATGTACTATTTCTAAAAATAATAAAATTATGAAATGAAAGAAAAGAAAACAGATCAAGTGGTTAGTGAATAATTATATTTGGAAAGCTATCAAAATTTATTTACTATAAGAATGTGAGTCAATTTTAATTGATTTCTACCATAAATTAAATTTGATCAAATCTAATTTGTTTTAATCCTTATTAAATTTGTCTAAAAATCTATTTAGATCATGTCTTAAAAATGTTAAGTGACATTTTCTAAATATGCCCCTTGGCTTAATGTCATGCCTCACTACCTTCCTTTTAATATAATATATATATAGAAGATACAAATATTTAAGTTTTTTCTTATCTTATAAATAATTGTATACTTTATGTAAGATCTTATTTTACTGCTTGAATATTTTAATTTTTGATGTCAATAAATCTTTAATAGCATAAGTAAATTTTAGTTTTATTTTATATAACTTCAAAGTATAAATAGTCATAGGTTATCTCAATTTACGTTTTTATATATTTTTTATTTTTTCCAATTATAGTTTTTTTAATTAATTTTTTACCTCCATATTTCTAGGTAATTTAGAAGAAAATCTATGAGTGAATATATATATATTAGGAAGAAACTACTCCCCAATTTAAATTGTTAATTTTTTTTTCTTATTTTCATTTTTTATGGATATTTAAATTCAAAAACAATAACCAATAACTAATTATTAACTAAATAACTAATTATGCCAAGTGGCCTTTTTCTAAGGTGCCACTTGGCTTAAGGAGAGGGCTTTTTCATCTCCTTTTAATAATACTAGTAGTCGTACCCGCGTGATGCGCGGTCAATATTAAACAAATATTAATTAAATTAAATTATGATCAGGCTTGTTTGATCCTATTAGATCGTATTGCTTTAATAAAATTCAATTGTCATCTTGTTTGTCAATACGATATACCCAATAATGAAATCTCTATTAAATCAAACGTACTTATATAGTTAGTGAATAACTTTTTTGTTCTATTTTTCTTTATTATATTAAACAATATTTAGTATTCGCTTTCTTTTTGTAATATATGAGAAGATATATAATTTATTACTATTGAACTTTTTTTAAAAATTTTATTATGTTGTTCTTAATAATATTATCTAAATTTTAGTGAATAAAATTTATGTTAAACTAACGGGACTTATACAGGCAGCGCATCGAATAACGTTTTTGTTATGTATTTTTCTTTATTATATCTTTCAATATTTAATACTATTACTTTGTTAATAGAAAGTTTCATTAGCATATTACGTTATTTAATATTTTCCTCTGAAGTTTTTTTTATTACTTTATTTTTGTTTTTTTATTTTTAAATAATTTTAAAACTCCAACTTAAAACTACTCCCCAATTTGAATTGGTAATTTATTATTTTTTTAATTTTCTTTTTTATATTAAAATTCCAACTTGAACTACTCCCCAATTTGAATGGGTAATTTTTTTTTTCTTTTTTTTTTTTCGTTTTTATAGCTTTTTTATTTTAAAATAATTTAAAAACTCCAACTTGAAACTACTCNATTTATTTTTTTGTTTTTTATAGTTTTTTTTTTTGTTTTTTTATTTTAAATAATTTAAAAATTCCAACTTGAAACTACTCCCACCCAAGAAACTACTCCCCAATTTAAATTATTAATTTTTTTTTCTTATTTTCATTTTTTATAGATATTTAAATTCAAAAACAATAACTAATAACTAATTATTAACTAAATAACTAATTATGCCAAGTGGCTTTTTTCTAGGCTGCCACTTGGCTTAAGGAGAGGGCTTTTTCCTCTCCTTTTAATAATATATAGAAGATACGTAGAAATTGTTTCTTCTTTTTAAAAAAATATAGAATACCTAATTAATTGTTTTTAAATTATTAATGACTTTTCTTTTCAAACTATATAAGTAGAAACTGCTTCTTATTTTAAAAAACTTCTTTTTAAAAAAATATAGAATACCTAATTAATTATTTTTAAATTCAAAATTTAAAAAGAGAAATTAATTTTACCTAACTTTAACTAATTTGTCCTAAAATAGACACGTGGCATTTTATATGTGGAACACTTGGCAAATTTGTAGGACCGACTTCTTTTCTATTAAGTAAATATAGATATAGATATAGAAGTTTGGCAAACTTAAATTATCAAAAGCTACAAAAAAATTGAAAAAAATATCAAAACTGCTCGAGAGTAGACACAAATTTAAAACCATTTTTGTCATTTTCTCCATTTATTAGCAACTCGAAATTTTAAAACTTACAAATCCAATTGTTTTATTCCTTTTCTAGCCCTAGAGGGAGAGAGAGAGAGATCACTGTGTGTATATTATATACATAGAAACATATATATATATATATTGGGGGAGCAACCTCTACAGATTACAGCGACTCAATTTGGGCGGATTGGATCTCATTTGAAAGGTAAAAAGTGTACTTTATTTGAACATATTTTCTATACTTGCTAAATCAGTTTATGTAAATTGATACACTTATATACAGATATGCATATCTTTTTATATGTTTTGATGTAATGCTATTGGATTCTTTTATTTGTTGTATTCTGTTTTGTAATTTTGTTCGCAGTGATCTCGAAGTTTAATTTCGGTATAGATAAAAAAAATTTGGTGATGAGGTGTCGAAAAAGATGTTTGGAGTTGATTTCTGCTAATTATTATCCATTTTGACTATTTAGATTAATGTCGAATACATAGATCAGTGGATATTGAATAAATTGATTTGTTTTAAGTTAATTACTGTACATAAATGGGGCGACCCGGTGCAGAAACATCCAGTATTCACGTAGGGTCGGTGAAAGGATCGCACCCTAGGGGTATAATGTAGGCAGCCTCATGATGCTTGTATCAGTGACTCCACGGCTCGAACCCGTGACCTACAGGTCATAACATTATGCATATTAATTATGGCGTGAAGCATGATACCACAATTACTTTGAAATTTCGTTGTCTATGTTAAGATAGAAATGTAGTTGTGAAAAGATATTTTATTTTAATAATTAAGCCGCACGAGCCCCTCTTTGATAAGGAAAGAAGCCCCTTACCCCCCAGAGGAAGATGCTGGCCGAGATGGAGTTGGGTGCAAACATAGAGTTTTATGGTGTTTGCATTGCCAAAACATCGAGGCATAAATTTATTGATATGCCGAATCTAACTTGTTTGGTAACGAGGCATAATTATTGTTTGCACATAAAATTAGGGAAAACATATTATGTGTGATTTTTCTCCGGTTCGATGTATGAACTGTGATCACCTTAAAGTAACCTTCAGATGCTCTTTCCACCCATATCAAATAACCCCGGCACATTCATGGTTTGGTAGGTTTTGTTTTAGCAGGATATCAAAGGAAATTGTTTGCTATAGCTATAAGTTGTATTTTTAGTGGTGATTCATGGGTTTGTGCATCTTTAGTCCTCGAAAATGGCTTTATTAATTTGGTGGCTGCTCTTAGAAATGGATATAAGAAATTGTGCCAAAATGGGATAGTTTGATTGAGAATCTTCAGAGGAAAGGTCAACATAAGAAGTTCTGCTCGGAAAGGAAGCTATAAACTATGTCTAGTATAATTCGAAATGCTTCTGCTAGGCTGGTTTTCATGTGATAATGAATTAAATTGGTTTAAGCTTGTAGAATGATGATCCTACATGCATCTTTATTGTGAAAAAACTGTTTGATAATTCCGTTTTCCAGTCTCTTGCATCTGCCATTCGGTTTGATTGGTCATAGACATAGGCTAGATTGCTATGAAGTTTACTCTTTGAATCCAAGATATGTAAATATTGTCTGCTTTCTCCTTTGGATTCGAACAAGAAGGGGGTGAATGGACTTTTTATTAAATTTTGTAAAAGTAAAGCTGGATAAACCTTTTGTATGTAATTTTACTTGAGAGGACCAGAAAAACCTTCTTGTTCACATATTTGGTTTAGCGAATATGCTCTAATATTCTGGGCAAAAGTGACCTCATCTGATCTTTGCGAGCAAATATGTTTCTCTTTTAAATAATGTGCATCTCATTAGAGAAGTAATATGATTTGATTGATTGATTGATCAATACAGAGATGAAGTATGCATAAATCTCCACATATATAGAGCATTAGACTTGAAGAGCAAGTAAGTATGTGGCAAATAAGTCTTGATATATATATATATATATATGAAAGACTTTTGAGACCTGGTGACCAAGCTTTAGGTAAGTACATTGGATACATTTGAAAGTTAATAAACGACCTATTATCAAATATCAAATGCTTTGGTGGTGTCAAGTAGATTTTGTGACACTTCGCTGTGTTATTCTTACTCTTATCCCTTCCATTCATGATCTCATTGTTCTGTTTTATTAAGTGATTTGCCCAATACTGTTCTGTGCACATATTAGTTGTTGAAAAATTGATCACAAAAAACGGAATGCCCAACTTTCTCTATATTTGGTATTGTGGATTCTCTTCCTCCTCTAGAGAGTATTGAGAATTTGGTTTCTTGATATGACAGTAACCAATGAGACATGCTTTAACTTTTATCGTTACCCAAAATATTGCAATTGGGGTTTTATCTAAAAAATATTGCAACTGCTTACTAACTGATTATTTCATTTCAGGTACATGCATATTTTGAAGAATGGCAGATGACATTTCAAGCTTTTGGGGTCCTGTAACATCTACCAAAGAGTGGTGTGAGCCAAATTATGTCCGCTCCTCCTATATTGCAGAGTTCTTTAATACCATCTCAAATGTCCCATGTATTATTCTGGCGTTGATTGGTCTTGTGAATGCCCTCAGACAGCGGTTTGAGAAAAGGTTCAGTGTCCTTCATATGTCAAATATAATACTTGCCATAGGGAGCATGATTTATCATGCCACGTTGCGGCAGATGTAAGCACTTTCTCCCTTATTTCCCATTTCTTTTATCTATAAAAAAGTCGGTTTGTCGTTATGTATTACCCACATTGCCATAGCAGGAAGAAGGTAATACATATTATTGACGTCAGGATCTATAGTTCCAAATTATTAACATGAGTACCTATAAAATGTTAAATGCATGGAAATGTATTTCGGTCTCTTTCACTACAGTGAACTTTTGAAGTAGCGAATGGAATGCCAGGATTGTTGAAAGCCTATAAACTAGGCCTTAGTACTTTTGGGAAGCTCATGCTTCTTCCTAGTAATTGGTTTAAACTTTGACAGAAGATCATTTATTGTCTTTTTTGGTAAGTTAACTTGATAGGAGATTATTAGGATGAGCTTTTCTCTTTTTCTTTTGTTGCATCTTGTCTTTAGGATAGGATGTTGTTGTTGTGGATTGTTCGACTTTTTTTCCCTCTTTACATCAATCAAAAGATTGATTGATGCTAATTGATTTATCCCAAAAGAAAAGAGGCTACGTCAAACTGGTCTTAATTTATAAATTAATGAAACCTTTAAAAATATAGTTACCTATCTACTCAAATAGGTGTTTCCATTTTTTAATAAAAGTACAAACATGAATAAGGGAACTTTTAACCTAACATTGGACTCTCGGGTCAAACGTCTCCTACATCTTTCTCTCCATATTGTCCAAAAAACTTAGAAAAGAATATCCCCTCCACAACTTTTCCTCTAAAGTTCCAATTTGCTTTAACCTCCAAGTTGCTACTTTTCAACACTGGAACCGTGTAGCTCCATTGGATATTAAATAGAGAAATGTATATTTTTAGCTGCTCCCAAAAATAATAGCCAACAAAATGTATTTTTTTGTATGTATGTGTATTATATACAAAAATTAATACATATTTTATACAATTTTCGGCTAGCGAATGCAATTAGTTTCAGCCGACTGGTCAGTTTTTTATTTTTCCCTATTAAATATTTGCATAAACGAATGCCCACAATCTCATGTTGTCAATTTGCTGCATAACAAGATAAAGCTGACTATGAACATCAAGTTGACCTTTTATAGTGTCCCTCTTGATTGTTGTGTGAATGGTGTATGTCTAATATTGAAGTTTCTTGTTAGATAAAACTATTCCGTGCCTTGTGCTGCATACAGATTGGATGGAAAATCATGTATCCAGAATGTTGGATAATACTTTGTAATGTCTTGAATTTGATGGTCATTCTAATGCATTATGATCCATGCTTTTGACAGGCAACAGCAAGGTGATGAGACACCCATGGTCTGGGAAATGCTTCTCTATTTTTACATCCTTTATTCACCAGATTGGCATTACAAGAGTACAATGCCCACGTTTTTATTCCTTTACGGTGCACTATTTGCCATTGCGCATTCACAGATTCGCTTTGATATTGGTTTCATGCTACATTATGCACTATTGTGCCTTCTTTGCATTCCTCGCACATATAAGTATTACATTCATACAGAAGACAAATCTGCAAAGCAGATTGCAAAGTTATATGTGGCCACTTTATTAGTCGGAGCTGTTTGCTGGCTGTGTGATCGTCTATTCTGCAAGGACATTTCGCGCTGGTACTTTAATCCACAGGGTCATGCACTATGGCATGTCCTTATGGGTTTTAATGCGTACTTTGCAAATACTTTCTTGATGTATTGCCGTGCTCAGCAAAGAGAATGGAATCCAAAAATCAAGCACTTCCTCGGATTTTTTCCATACGTAAAGATCCAGAAACCAAAAGCTCAGTAGCAGAAGTTGTTTGCATGAGCTCATCCTGTAAGAAAAAATGCGGCCATGAATTGGCGCCAAGTAGCTAGTGCCTGCAGTCATCATCCTGTAAGAAACAACGCGGCCATGAAATGGCACCAAGGAGCTAGTGCCAGCAGTCATCATTCTTTCGCTTCTCCATTTTGCAGAATATTATGTAAATGAAAGTTTGAACTAGTTTTGACTGGTTTGGGTAGTGATCAAATTTTTGACTGTAAAATTAGTGGTTTCCCGGTGTACCATATACTTATACTCCCACAGAAGACTGATATGGACTTACTAGTAATCTTTTGCTAATGTTTTTGTTTTTGCATTTTAGGAAATGTTCTAACATGGTTTATTTTGTTATTATGTAAGCGCGATAAAAGGTGGTTTTTGATTGCGAAGCTCATCTGGCAATGCATGTATGGATAGTCAAAGAAATCTTTAGGTTTTGTGTTTTATGCTTCTATTGAACAACCTCATCTTTTTGTGCCGATGGTCTATCGAAAACAATATCTCTACCCATAGGGTAGGGGTATAGTCTGCGTACACACTATCCTCCTCAGATCCCACTTGTAGGATTATACTAGGTTGTTGTTGTTGATTCTATTGAACAACCTAACCCTATAAAAAGAAAGAATCTATGCACCATACCCTTGTCAGTGTAACATATAAGGGCTGATGTTTCAATTGTCATTTGGTAGAAGCATTTAGCCAAACAAATTAACGCAATTTTCCTATTTTCGGGGTATTATCACTTTTAGCCCGTGTCAGAAACTATTTATATCTGGTAGCCGAAAAAGTGTATAAAACTTGTATAATTTTTATATATAACATACATAATGTATATATATACAAAAAATATATACTTTTTATACATTTTTTCGACTATTATTTTTACAGCAATTATACAGTGTCATTTTTCCATTCTCTCATTTGATAGCCCACTCTCTTGAGTTTACTTTTAAGCATTAAGCACTAGAGCGAGACAAATACACTTTTCACTACAAAGCGTCCCAAGTCTGTCTGACTGTAAAATTACCAGATTTGGTTACAGAATAAACAGATAATTTTCTCAAAATTGTTTCCCGGAGAGAGGGGTCGAGTCCGCACGGGTGGTAGATGAACTACAAACTAGAGGCTAGATAATGAGATATCCAGTTTACATTTTGGAATTTATTGAAATCAACTCCAACCGATAACACAACGCTTTGATCAAAGTCGTTCGAGAAGGAAAACAATTCAAAGATGAATAGCATCACAAATAACTTCAAGTGTCTTTTTCTCCAAATCTTTTTCATCAATCCATATAGAACTTTGCCGTCGTACAAGATCGCGTTTCTCTTTCTTCTTCTCTGAGAACTTCATTTCCCTCATCCTCCAATATTCAAGTTTTTCCCGTCTTTCTTTAAGCTGCAGACAAATAATTAAACACGAATGGGATGTTAGTTTATACTTGATTGAGAATATTTGCAAGCAAAGCTTATATACAATTCAGACATACTCAAGACTATGGCAAACTACGCTCTTAAACCTACTTTACAGTTGTACCTGCTAATTGAATTTTAAGTATCGTCTCCGGAAAAAAGGGGGTAGGAAACATAAGATTACTAACAACGTTGTTAAAAAAGGGGGCTCGCTTAAAGATGACGCAGAGTCCTGAGGACTACGCCTCACTTGGGCAGTGTTTCAGTAAACAAGGTTCCAAGGCATATGCCTCATCATGCATGGATCTGTCTTGAAGAGGCGGAACTATGCAAGAAATATAACTCACAATGTGATATATTAATATCAAGGAATCACACATCAAAAGATTATATTTTTTGATTACGACACATCAAAAGATTAAACTAAGAATTTGAAAAACCCCTGCTAGAGGGAAAAACAATGCCCCTTGTGTATCCATTGAACGTCTAAGTTTTAGTGGCTATTAATGTGAGAACGTGTACAGTTTTAATCTTACTCAGAAGAACATGAGCCACAAATAACATTTGATTTGTTTGGATTTAAAATAAGGATAGCAGTAAGAAGTCAAAACAAGAATCACATCACAATACTTGTGTCGTATAACATGATTTACTACTTCCAATATCAGGCAAATAAAATACTAGGACACTATTCAGAATGGATAGCAAAAGGATATTGCACATATAATTTGGGACAAAGGGAATTCAAGGAAGATAGTCAAGGACTAACAAATGATGCAAAATATATATTGCCATAATGAAGTACAGATTATGATGATCCACTCTATTCAAACTCACTGTATAGTCAAATAAAGATAAATGACAAACGACCACCTCAAATATTCAAATTTATTCAGTATGCACTTAGTTCAAGGTAAAATATGGAGTAAAAGACAAGCCAGATGACAAGGCACATTTACTTTCAGTAATTAGTATCCACCCATATAATAAATATAGTGAGAGATGGCAGGACTGTAAGAGTTTTTGATCATCTCGGAACGAGTCTCTTTTGTTAATTCAGTAAAGAGAGCCCATGGGTGAATTTCATCAAGCAGTGTGCTTACAGTCCTAGCATTCTCTAGAGTTCAATTTGTCTGTTCTTTGTTTTAATTCACATATTTATTATAGTGATAGCTCTGTAGTTGCAAAAATCACATGTTGTTCTCTTGGAAAAGTCTGCTTGGGAAGAATTCATTAAACAGAAGCTATCGGTGCACTTCAACATTACCATGCTTACTAGTTCATTCGGCTATATGAATCCTTTACATTTATTTATCCCCATTTGGCATATAATATTGTGAGGATTGGCCTACCGATCGAAGCAGTGGGAGATTGAACATGAGTTTTGCAGTACAGAACCAACAGTTTTCGACTCAAACTGTGTGTGTTGGAGAGAGTGAGAGACCAATAAATATAGATAGAGTTAGATATAAATTTGAAACACGTAATCCCCATTCAGAACCTATGATACCTTGAGAACCAATCTCTAAATCAAAATATCAACAAAACTAGTTGAATTCTCCGCATCCACCTTAACATCGATGGTCGCAGTGCCTAATACTTGTATTGGAGAAAGGTGACAATTGCCCAATAAACTAGTCGAGTTGCTTGCAAATTGGCCTGTCGCCTCATAAAACGAGACATATTGAAACGATTTATCATTTTAACAAAGAATAAAATTTAATACTACAATAATAACAGACAGACATATACTTTAGTGTCAGCTCAAACAAGCTCTTAGTAATGCTCAATTTATTTTAGAACGTCTATCAAGAAACAACATAAGTAAGAGAGAAGTGAATGGGGCTATACATAAACCATCTACACATAAGAGAAAAAAAAAATCAAACATTTGAAAACCACCTGCCAATGGGAAGAGAAAATATTAGCAGTTGCTTACCAGTTGAATGTCTAAGTTTGACTGGTTATTAGGATGAGACATGAGAGCCAGCATAGTTCTACGCACCGACAGTCTAATGATTTTTTACACCATCAGTATAGTTTTAACCTTTATAATAGGTTACTTACGATTTATTATGTTACCCATCAATACTTATTAAATAGATTTACCTGCAATTATCTTTTAAGTGAGTTGATTGTGTAAATACTTTTTATACCATCATTATATAGTACTTAAACTCAATTCAGCATATACAAGTAGAATTTAAGTTATACACACTGACATTGTAAAGATAATTTTTACATTGCTAGTCAAGTTTAGCGGGTGATAGCAGTTTAGTTATCATTTTTAGCAGCGTACAAACTAAGTGTAAATATTTTTTACACCATCAATTCATAAAACTCAAACTCAATCAAATCAGCATCTACAAGTAATATCCTAACTTTGCAAACAACAAAAACTGAATTAAAAAATTAAGAAATAATATTAATCAATATTAATATTAAACAAGGAAAAGTAGTATTTAGATGTCAAAAAATGACTAACAAATCATTATTGTATTGCACAAAGTGACCAAAACTGTAGATATTAGGCAAATCGAGAAATGACATTGTTTCAGAGAACAATATTAAAAAGAAAAATTAAGCATATAGAAGTAATATCCAAACTTTGTAAAAACAAAAAAAAATAAAAAAATATTAATCACATACCAAGGTTTTGCGAAACTCCTCTTCAGCAGCCTCTCTTTCCATTGCCTTCGCTTTTTTCTCAGCGGCCTTAGCAGCTTTACGCTCCTCATTAGCAATCCTCTGAGCTTCCTTTTTAGCTTCAGCTTTTCTCATCTTCTCAATCCTCTGAAGTTCCATTTCTTGTATGTACTCTTTCCGAACCTCCTTCACCTTTTTCGCATATTCGCGGCGTAAAAGTGCGAGTTTAGCCTCCGCCTCCTTAGGATCCTTAGGTGCTGTCCATGAATTCAGATAGTTGCTCGGCGGAAGAAACTCGTGGTTGCGCTGGTGGTGGTTGTGGTGCGATGGTGCGGTGGTGGAAGAATCGGCGGCCGCGGTGGAAATGGATCGGAGATAGGGTTTTAGGGTTTGGGATGGGATTTTACGGAGGAGCTGCCGGGAAAGCGACATTTTTGTGCTCTATGGTATTGTACTAGCGCAACTATGGTGTACCCAATCTATTTCTGTTTTAGGTTCACTACGAAAATGACGTGTATCAAAATAATGTGTATTTTGACTTAAAATTGAATGAAATTTGGCTAGTATTAAACTAAAACAAATGATACCAGGACAATAATATAAATTTTAAAATTTATACTCATTTTATTTTTATAGATACTTTTGTTATATAATTTAATAAGTTTTCTCCTATTTTCCCTATCATTCTCTTTTATAATCCATTATAAATTCGAGTAACGAAAAACATATTCCATCACAAATTTTCCAAATTAATAAATTTGTAACAAACCAGTCACTTTGGAGTCCTGTGTGTGTGCCACCGCAACTCAAAATAAGTTTTATAAAGTGGTGGTTAGACTGTCATATCGTATGGCCAATATTGTCATATCGTATGGGGCATAATATTGGCCAGTCAAAAACTTACACAATCCAAACGATGAAAATAGCAGAAATGAGGATGCAGAGATGGATGTGCAGGCACACTAGACTGGATAAGATTATAAATAAAGATATTCGGAAGAAGGTGGGCATGACTCCCATGGATGACAAGATGCGGGAAACGAGAGTAAGATTGTTACAAACCCAAATAACACCAAAGTATATTGTATCGATAAATAGGCAGTAATAGGAACAACTCAGCTAAAAGAAATTACAAAGAACTCAAACACCACAAGAATGGGGATGAGAAGACGAAGATGAGAGGCACAAAACTTTCACATAATACAAGCCTATTGTAATTCTTATTCTACTAGGTATTTATAGGGAATGCTAAATCCTATTTCCTTACTTCACACTTCACACGTTCCAACACTCTGCTGCCAAACAAAGTCTGTTAATTTTGTTGGATGCTTCTTCACTCTTGTGTTGCGCCTCACATTTTCTGTTACTTGAGGAGTGCTGATCTGGCTACTAACTTGGTCAGGTGCGTGTGCATTTTCAGCTATTTCGGTATTTATAACATTACCCTCATCCCAACAATGAACCTTGTACACAAGGTTCGCGCACGTAGCAGCAGAAGAAAAGTCTTTGAGATGCAAGGGAGTGATTTGTTGTTCAGGTGTTCTTGCACACTTCTTGAGCATTGAAATATGAAAGACAAGATGAATTGAAGCCGCCTCGGGTAAGTCTAACTTGTAAGCCATCAGACCAATGTGTTGCAGCACCTTGAAGGGTCCAAAATACTTCCTATCCAGCTTGTGCTACTTATGGGAATGCAAAGAATGTTGTTTATAAGGCTGCAATTTAACATATGCCCAATCCCCAACCTACATCATGACATCCGTGCGCTTTTGATTAGCGAAATTCTTCATACGACCATGAGCACGTAGTAAATTTGTCTTGAGGGCCTCCAGGACCTCATCACGATGCATGAAGAACTGTTCCACTAGGTCGTGAGAACTGCCATCTAGAACATAACGAGCTATAGTGGGAGGAGCGCGGCCATACAATGCCTGAAAAGGAGACATACCCGCGAAGGTTTGAAAAGAAGTATTGTACCAGTACTCCGCCCAAGGCAGCATGCTAACCCAATCCTTTGGAGAATCAACAACGTAGCAGCGTAAATACTGCTCAACACATTTATTGAGCGCCTCAGATTGGCCATCTGTTTGGGGATGGTAAGCAGTGCTCATGGCTAAAGATGTTCCCTGGAGCCGGTTTAGTTCCTGCCAGAACATATGTAAGAAACGGGGGTCACGATCAGTGACAATGGACTTCGGAGGACTATGAAGCTTTATGATGTGAGCAACAAAAGCCTCCGCAACAGTCAGGGCCGTGAAAGTAGCTAGCAAGGGTATGAAATGGCCATATTTCGATAATCTGTCAACTACTGTCATGATGGTTTTCTTGCCGCGAGATGCAGGCAAGCAAGTCACAAAATCCATGGCGATCTCCTCAAAGACTTGTTCTGGAATCGGGAGGGGCTGTAATAAGCCAGCTGGATGATGATGCAGATCCTTCATTTGCTGGCAAGTGGGATAAGTAGCTATAAACACCTTGATGTCATGCCGCATGGATTTCCAATAAAAATTGGAGGATAAACGATGAAAGGTACGAGCAATGCCAGAATGTCCCCCGATTGGTGAAGAGTGGAACTCATGGCTTAAGTGTAAACGAAGTGGCGAATCTGTAGGCAGGACCAAGCGGTCTTTAAAGAATAAGAGCCTGTCACGAAACAAATAATCGGGATATGCAGTAGGATCAGATTGAAGGCCATGGTGAATAGACAATAATTCGGGATGCACATTGTTGGCTTGTCGTAAGGTGTCAAACAACTAAAAGGATTGACTAGAAATAGCCATAAGGGAAGCAGTTGGCATTCGAGACAAGGCATTTGCGACGAGGTTGTGCTTCCCCGGTCTGTACATAATAACAAAATCATAACCCACGAGTTTGCCCTACCATTTTTGTTGCTCCGGAGTTTGTATTACTTGATTAGTGAGGTTCCTAAGTGCTTGCTGATAAGTGATGATGGTGAAGTGTCTCCCCAATAGATATTGGCGCCATTTGCTAACAACTTGAGTGATAGACAACATTTCCCGTACATAAGTAGAAGCATGTTGCATTTGAGGACATAGCTTTTGACTAAAATATGCAATTGGATGACCTCTCTGAGAGAGAACAGCCGCAATGCTGGTTCTTGACGCATCAGTTTCAACTTGAAAATGTTGAGTGAAGTCAGGTAAAGCCAACACCGGCGTAGAGTTGAGACAATTCTTAATAGTCTCAAAGGCAGTTTGAGCTAGAGGGGTCCAAGAATAAGAGTCATGACGCAAATCTGTCAATGGGCTAGCAATCATAGCATAGTTATGGATAAAATGCTGGTAATATCCGGCGAGCCCCAAAAAGCTGCGAACCTCCTTAACATTGCGAGGCACGAGCCACTGTTGAATAGTGGTAATCTTTGTAGGATCTACTAATAAACCTTGTTGTGATAACACATGACCTAAATACTCCATTGTTTCCTGACCGAATGTGCATTTAGCAAACTTAGCAACCAACTTGTGTTGCCTCAACGTGGATAGAGCACACTGGAGGTGGTCCAAATGAAGCTCCCAGGATGGGATATAAACCAGGATGTCGTCAAAAAATACCAATACAAATCGTCGCAAAAAGAGGCGAAACACGACATTCATCGTGGCTTGGAAGGTGGAGGGTACATTAGAAAGCCCAAAAGGCATAACCAAAAATTTATAATGGCCCTCGTGTGTGCAAAATGTTGTCTTTGTAATATCCTCTGGGCGCACTCGAATCTGATGATACCTGGACAACAAATCGAGTTTAGAAAAATACCTTGCACCATGTAATTCATCAAATAATTCATCAACTGTGGGAATTGGAAACCTATCGCGTATGGTGGTAGCATTCAAGGCCCTATAATCAACACAAAAATGCCAAGAGCCATCTTTCTTACGAACAAGCAACACAGGGGAAGAGAAGGGGTTGGTACTTGGACGGATAATACCTTCAGCAAGCATTTCCTCAACCAATCTTTCCATCACTTGTTTCTGAAAATATGGATACCGGTATGGCTTCACATTGACAGGCCCATCAGCAGGAGTCAAATGAATAGCATGGTCCTGAGGTCTCGCAGGTGGCAGACAATGTGGCTTAGTAAATATATCTTCGAATGACTCCAATAAAGTAGACAATGCCCGAGGAGGATCAGGGGACTTCGGAAGTGAAGTCCCAATTAACTCCAAATGGTAATAGGTATCAATAACATCTGTAGCACAAATGCATCTTAAGCACTAAAGTTGGACCGATTGCACATCTAGAAATGACTCACCTACCCACTGGGCCTGCTGGTCATTCAACACAAATTCAAATACCCATTGGCCATAGCCAGTCACCACACGACCCAAAGTAGCGAGCCACAAAATACCTAAGACAAAGTTAGAGCCATGCATAGGCAGGACAAAGAAGTCCATGGTGAGAAAACACCCCTGAATGCTAAGCGGAACTTGGCGGACAAGGTCGGCACATTGAAGACGTTGCCCACTTCCTACCATAACGGAGAAGGGAGGAATGGGTTTGACCACCAATCGAAGGAAATTAGCCACAAGAGTTTGAATAAAGTTGTGTGTACTTCTATTGTCAAGCATGACTTGCACTTGTGAGTTCTGAATATAGCCAGTGAATCGAAGCGTAGAATCAGTGGTAAGAAATGGCAGAATGATGCATCACCTCCAAATTTTGAAGCTCATCGGCCAATATTTCATCTGTCATAGTTACATCAGGTAGAGGATCCTGCTCGAGGACTTCGTGTTCGAGCAATAATAGTTGAGGAAGAGCCTTACACTTGTGGCCGGCGGAGTACTTCTCATCACAATGGAAGCACAACCCTTGTTCCCGGCGCCGCTGAATCTCTACTGGTGAAAGACGTTTAAGCGGAAGACGAGTGCGGGAATTACTTTGTGGAGAGAAAGTAGGGATTGGCAGGAGGGGTGGGGATCTAGAAAAAGTTGGTTGCAGCGACCCTTCCCACTCCAATACAATTCTCTGCTCATGGGTATGGTCCAAGTCAAAGACCTCATCTAATTTTGGGCTTATGGGCTAAAACAGCCGTCTGAATATCAGCTTTAAGGCCTGAAGTAAACATAAGAACTAACCACGATTCTGGAACATCATTAGTTTTATTGGCAATTGATTCAAACCGAGCCTAGAACTCAGCGACGGTAGACATCTGCCGGAGCTTCGATAAACGACCCTTTGGTGGACGTAAGGAACGCTTTTGAAAGTGTCTCGTCACTTTCAAGGCAAAACGAGGCCAATTACTCAGCTGTTTGTTGCAGAACAACCATCGATACCATTCGCGGGCCTCACCGTCCAAATAGAATGATGCTAAGGAGAGTTTGTGATCCTTAGAGATATGATAGAAATCAAAGTACCTTTCTGCGTCAAAGACCCAACCCTCTGGATTAGCACCAGAGAAGCGAGGCATCTCCACAGAAGCTGGTTTATGCCGCATCGAAGGAACGGTTGGGATGCCGGTGGGAGCTTTTGTGGCAACTGCTTGAGAGTACAACGAATTGGCCACCTGAGACATCAAATTCAAGAGTAGCTTCTACTTCCCAACAAAGGCCATAGTGAGATCGGCAATGGAGGTTGCGATATCCGCGATCTCCTTAGAGGACGACATAGACAGCATAGTGTCAGTAGTAGTGGAACTCCAAAACCCAGTCATGGAGCTCGAAACAATGAAAGCACCAATTCTACAAACCCAAATAACACCAAAGTATATTGTATTGATAAATTGGCAGTAATAGGAACAACTCAGCTAAAGGAAATTATAAAGAACTCAAACACCACAAGAATGGGAATGAGAAGACGAAGATGAGAGGCACAGAACTTTCACATAATACAAGCCTACTGTAATTCTTATTCTACTAGGTATTTATAGGGAATGCTAAATGTTATTTCCTTGCTTCACACTTCATATGTTCCAGCACTCTGCTGCCAAACAAACTCTGTTAATTTTGTTGGATGCTTCTTCACTCTTGTACTGCGCCTTACATTTTCTGTTACTTGAGGATTGCTGATCAGGCTACTAACTTGGTCAGGTGCATGTGCATTTTCAGCTATTTCGATATTCATAACATTATCCCCATCCAAAAAATGAACCTTGTCCACAAGGTTCGCGCCCGTAGGAGCAGAAGAAGAGTCTTTGAGATGCAAGGGAGTGATTTGTTGTTCAGGTGTTCCTGCACACTTCTTGAGCATTAAAATATGAAAGACAGGATGAATTGAAGCTGCCTCGAGTAAGTCTAACTTGTAAGCCACCAGACCAATGTGTCGCAGCACCTTGAAGGGTCCAAAATACTTCCTATCCAGCTTGTGCTACTTATGGGAATGCAAAGAATGTTGTTTATAAGGCTGCAATTTAACATATGCCCAATCCCCAACATGCAGCATGACATCCGTGCGCTTTTGATCAGCGAACTTCTTCACCATGAGCACGTAGTAAATTTGTCTTGAGGGCCTCCAGGACCTCATCACGACGCAGGAAGAACTGTTCCACTTGGTCGTGAGAATTTCCATCTAGAACATAACGAGGTATAGTGGGAGGAGCGCGGCCATACAAGGCCTGAAAAAGAGACATACCCGCGGAGGTTTGAAAAGAAGTATTGTACTAGTACTCCGCCCAAGGCATCATGCTAACCCAATCCTTTGGAGAATCAACAACGTAGCAGCGTAAATACTGCTCAACATATTTATTGAGCGCCTCAGATTGGCCATCCGTCTGGGGATGGTAAGCAGTGCTCATGGCTAGAATGTTCCCTGGAGCCGGTTTAGTTCCTTCCAGAACACATGTAAGAAATGGGGGTCACGATTAGTAACAATAGACTTCGGAGGACCATGAAGCTTGATGATGTAAGCAACAAAAGCCTCCGCAATAGTGAGGGCCGTGAAAGTAGCTGGCAAGGGTATGAAATGGCTATATTTCGATAATATGTCAACTACTGTCATGATGGTTGTCTTGCCACGAGATGCAGGCAAGCAAGTCACAAAATCCATGGCGATCTCCTCAAAGACTTGTTCTGGAATCGGTAGGGGCTGTAATAAGCCAGCTGGATGATGATGCAGATCCTTCATTTGCTGGCAAGTGGGACAAGTAGCTATAAACACCTTGATGTCATGTCACATGGATTTCCAATAAAAATTGGAGGATAAACGATGAAAGGTACGAGCAATGCCAGAATGCCCTCGATTGATGAAGAGTGGAACTCATGGCTTAAGTGTAAACGAAGTGGCGAATCTGTAGGCAGGACCAAGCGGCCTTTAAAGAATAAGAGCCTGTCACGAAACAAATAATCGGAATATGCAGTAGGATCAGATTGAAGGCCTTGGTGAATAGACAATAATTCGGGATGCACCTTGTTGGCTTGTAGTAAGGTGTCAAACAACTGAAAGGATTGACTAGAAATAGCCATAAGGGAAGCAGTTGGCATTCGAGATCACAAGGCATCTGCAATGAGGTTGTGCTTCCCCGGTCTGTACATAATAACAAAATCATAACCCACGAGTTTGCCCTACCATTTTTGTTGCTCCGGAGTTTGTATTACTTGATTGGTGAGGTTCCTAAGTGCTTGTTGATCAGTGATGATGGTGAAGCATCTCTTCAACAGATATTGGCGCCATTTGCTAACAGCTTGAGTGATAGCCAACATTTCCCGCACATAAGTAGAAGCCTGCTGCATTCGAGGACATAGCTTTTGACTAAAATATGCAACTGGATGACCTCTCTGAGAGAGAATAGCCGCAATGCCGGTTCCTGACGCATCAGTTTCAACCTGAAAAGGTTGAGTGAAGTCAGGTAAAGCCAACACCGGCGTAGAGCTAAGACAATTCTTAAGAGTCTCAAAGGTAGTTTGAGCTAGAGGGGTCCAAGAATAAGAGTCATGACGCAACAAATCTGTCAATGGGCTAGCAATCATAACATAGTTATGGATGAAACGCCGGTAATATCTGGTGAGCCCCAAAAAGCTGCAAACCTCCATAACATTGCGAGGCACGAGCCATTATTGAATAGTGGTAGTCTTTGTTGGATCTACTAATAACCCTTGTTGTGATAACATATGACCTAAATACTCCACCGTCTCCTAACTGAATGTGCATTTAGCGAACTTAGCAACCAACTTGTGTTGCCTCAACGTGGATAGAACACACTGGAGGTAGTCCAAATAAAGCTCCCAGGATGGGCTATAAACCAGAATGTCGTCAAAAAATACCAATACAAATCATCGCAAAAAAGGGCGAAACATAGAATTCATCGTAGCTTGGAAGGCGGAGGGTGCATTAGAAAGCCTAAAAGGCATTACCAAAAATTCATAATGGCCCTCGTGTGTGCAAAATGTTGTCTTTGCAATGTCCTTTGGGTACAGTCGAATCTGATGATACCCGGACAACAAATCGAGTTTAGAAAAATACCTTGCACCATGTAATTCATCAAATAATTCATCAACTGTGGGAATTGGAAACCTATCGCGTATGGTGATAGCATTCAAGGCCCTATAATCAACACAAAAATGCCAAGAGCCATCCTTCTTACGAACAAGCAACACAGGGGAAGAGAAGGGGCTGATACTTGGACGAATAATACCTTCAGCAAGCATTTCCTCAACCAATTTTTCCATCACTTGTTTCTGAAAATATGGATACCGACATGGCTTCACATTGACAGACCCGACAGCAGGAGTCAAATGAATAGCATGGTCCTGAGGTCTCGTAGGTGGCAAACCATGTGGCTTAGTAAATATATCTTCGAATGACTCAAATAAAGTAGACAATGCCAGGGGAGGATCAGGGGACTTCGGAAGTGAAGTCCCAATTAACTCCAAATGGTAATAGGTATCAATAGCATCTGTAGCGCAATGCGTCTTAAGCACTGAAGTTGGACCGGTTGCACATCTGGAAATGACTCATCTACCCACTAGACCTGCTGGTCATTCAACACAAATTCAAATACCCGCTGGCCATAGTCAGTCACCACACGACCCAAAGTAGCGAGCCACGAAATACCTAAGACAAAGTCAAAGCCATGCATAGGCAGGACAAAGAAGTCCATTGTGAGAAGACACCCCTGAATGCTAAGCGGAACTTGGAGGAAAAGGCCGGCACATTGAAGACGTTGCCCACTTCCTACCATAACGGAGAAGGGAGGAATGGGTTCGACTGCCAATCAAAGGAAATTTGCCACACAAGTTTGAATAAAGTTGTGTGTACTTCCATTGTCAAGCATGACTTGCACTGGTGAGTTCTGAATATAGCCAATGAATCGAAGCGTAGAAGTAGTGGTACCTCCGGCCATAGCATGGTAAGAAATGGCAGAATGGTGCATCGCCTCCAAATTTTGAAGCTCCTCAGCCAATATTTCATCTGTCATAGTTACATCAGGTAGAGGCTCCTGCTCGAGGACTTCGTGTTTGAGCAACAATAGTTGTGGAGGAGCCTTACACTTGTGGCCGGCGGAGTACTTCTCATCACAGTGGAAGCACAACCCTTGTTCTCGGCGCTGCTGAATCTCTACTGGTGAAAGACGTTTAAGCAGAAGACGAGTGCGGGAATTACTTTGTGGAGAGAAAGTAGGGGTTGGCAGGAGGGGTGGGGATCTAGGAAAAACTGGTTGCAGCGACCTTTCCCGCTCAAATACAATTCTCTGCTCATGGGTATGGGCCAAGTCAAAGACCTCATCTAATGTTTTGGGCTTATGGGCCAAAACAGCCATTTGAATATCAGCTCTAAGGCCTGAAGTAAACACATGAACTAACAACGATTCTGGAATGTCATTAGTTTCATTGGCAATTGATTCAAACCGAGCCTGGAACTCAGCGATGGTGGACGTCTGTCGGAGCTTCGATAAATGACCCTTTGGTGCAAGTAAGGAACGCTTCTGAAAGCGGCTCATCACTTTTAAGGCAAAACGAGGCCAATCACTGAGCTGCTTGTTGCGGAACAACCACCGATACCATTCACGGGCCTCACCGTCCAAATAGAATGATGCTAAGGAGAGTTTGTGATCTTCAGAGATATGATAGAAATCAAAGTACCTTTCTGCGTCAAAGACCCAACCCTCTGGATTAGCACCAGAGAAGCGAGGCATCTCCATAGAAGTTGGTTTATACTGCATCGAAGGAACGGTTGGAATGCCAGTGGGAGCTTCTGTGGAAACTGCTTGAGAGTACGACGAATCGGCCACCCGCGACATCAAATCCAAGAGTAGCTTCTGCTGCCCAGCAAAGGCCGTAGTGAGATCGGCAATGGAGGCTGCGAGATCCGCGATCTCCTTAGAGGACGACGTAGACAACATAGTGTCAGTAGTAGTGGAACTCGAAAACCCAGTCATGGAGCTCAAAATAATGAAAACACCAATGCTACAAACCCAAATAACACCAAAGTATATTGTATTGATAAATTGGCAGTAATAGGAACAATTCAGCTAAAGGAAATTACAAAGAACTCAAACACCACAAGAATGAGGATGAGAAGACGAAGATGAGAGGCACATAACTTTCACATAATACAAGCCTATTGTAATTCTTATTCTACTAGGTAATTATAGGGAATGCTAAATCCTATTTCCTTGCTTCACACTTTACACGTTCCAGCACTCTGCTGCCAAACAAAGTCTATTAATTTTGTTGGATGCTTCTTCACTCTTGTGTTGCGCCTCACATTTTCTGTTACTTGAAGAGTGCTGATCTGGCTACTAACTTGGTCAGGTGCATGTGCATTTTCAGCTATTTCGATATTCATAACAAAGATGGTTTGGGTACGTGTGAAGGAGAAGCCTAGATACCCCGGTAAGGAGGTATGAGCGGCTTTGGCTGACATGAGAAGAGGTAGAGGTTTGCCTAAGAAGTATTTGAGAGAGATGATCAATCCCTTACAATTTTGTGACGAACTTAGCTGAGAGGATAATGACTACAAGTAGGCGTGTACATGGACCGAGTTAGTTTGGTTTTTATCAAAATCAAACCAAACCAATTATATCGGTTTGGATTGGTCCGGTTTTATCTGGTTTTTCGGCTTTTCGGGTTTTTTGTTAGTTACATATTATTTCAATCTTACTTTGTTAAATATTTGATAAGTAAATATATATTTAGTAAAAATATTAAAATTTGACAAATTTATTATTGATTAAAATATTCTTATGGGAGAATTCTATTAGTAGCACATAATAGTTATTTTCTTATTCTTCTGATAATAATTTTTCGTTAATATACACTTTCAAGTTAACCAAATTTAGTAATTAAACATAAAAATCAATATGATACCTAAATATTAATAATCACTTCACATTCGAAAAAGATATAAAAATTTAATAGATCTTAACATATGATATGAATATGGAAGAACAAAGAGATAGACGCATTTCAGTAACACTTGATAAGAAAGTGATCATACAATCCATTATTTAACGTCAATAAATATGGAGCACTTCATATTCTATTAAAATTTATATCCCGCAAGAGAATCCCAAATATTTCTAGATATTTTTTTTAAAAAATTCTATATAAAATCTTAAAAGTATATATAAAAATTATATACTTATATGTCGGGTTGATTACGGATTTTTTACTCAATACCAAACCAAATCAAACCAAACCAAGTTGGGTTTTTTAGTCGGCTTGGTTTGACTTTTCGATTTGGTGCGATTTTTCGGATCGATTTGTACACCCCTTAACTACAAGTTAAACATTGCTCTATCTTGTATAATGATGTTGGACAAAGTTCATTTTTATGTATGGTGAATAAATTAGACATAACCAAACTCTGCCTCAATTTTGTAACTATTACGCCACATATTTTCTATGGAAAACTCGAGACATTGTATAATTATGAATTTTTAATTATCACGCACACTTAGTATGCTTGACTTTCTTCAAAATTCTTGTCTGAACTAGATATGCTCCAACTTAACTACTCGACTTTCTATAACATTTATACGATTTTTTTCATTGAGTAAAAGAACTTAGCAGTATATAGATCATGTATTACTTTAGCAAAATATTTTTTTTTTAAAAAATAGATCATGATTCATGTATGTATGTCAGTCCATGTATAAATGTCTGTTATGCTGACTCGTTCACAAACACTAGTACAGCTCCAAATTTCTCCCATTAATTGTTTCGATATTTAAATGAAAATTCTTAGAGTAAAACTACTACAAAAATATTATAAAAAATGCCCCAAAAAGCAAAAAAGAAATCCGACCTACCGGATTCGAACCAGTGACCTAAGGATTAGCTGTGGGCTTTTGACCCGACTACAGTCCTCCGCTCTACCAACTGAGCTAAGGTCGGTTTGCAATGCAAAGCACACTAATATTATAATAACATTTTACATTTTTCATCTCAAGTTAAATTTTACTTGTCTCAAATAATGGTTTCTCACCTTGTGTGAAGTTAATTATTTTTATGGTTTCCTATTTGGTGTCGGGTATATGTATTGACATAAATATGGATTCGCATTGCGTAAGATACATTAAAAGAAAAAGTATTCCTTATCAAGATTTCTTTCATTCTTAAGGTTTGAGTTCGAGATTTTTAGTTAAGGGTGAAGGGATCATATCCATCCCACTATAACTGTTGTACATGTTTCAAGTTAATTTCCTATTTACATTTTATTCAAAGGGAAGAGTAGGACTAATGAATATTTTGATATTTAGTTACACTTAATAGCCTTTCACGTCATTCATTTGTTTTTCAAATTGTAAGAGAAAATTCTAAACTAAGATATCTTTATATTCACAATCGTACCTTGATCCTCGAATAATCCATTTAGCTATCAGCCTGTGTTATATATTATGGGTAATATCATGAAATTTGTTAATACTGTTGCATACTAATAACTAAACTGCCAAACATATATTAGAATTTTGACATATCGTGATCCCTTTAGCCGAGAAGGCTTGATGTGAAATTGAAATTAAGCACCCGTTCGGCCATAGATTTTGGGTACAATTTTTCAGAATAAAAAATGGAAAATACTGTTTATTCATGGAATATGATCAATTTTTAAAAATATTTTGAATTTATTTTCAAGTTCCCAAAAACTAGTTTAGGACGTCTTTTGGGTGAAACTTTTTTTGGGGTGTTGCTGCGAGGGACAAGGGTAGCAATCCTTTATTTCCGGAAAAGACCCGTATGCCCAAGATAAACGAACCGGAGGGAGCAAAGCACCGCAGCAGATACATAATTTTATTTCCACTTTCAGTTTCACCGCGACTCAGGATACGTGCAAGGAGAGCCAGGGAAGGGGCAAGGGGTTCACCCGCTTTCACTAATCATAGGTTCAAGAGATCCCACTATAGAAGTGTCTAGCTGTTCTTTTACTCACAAAACGTTAATTTTTTTTCCAATAAAATACATGTCCAAATATAATTACAACTTTCAAGATTTATTTTTTAACACAATTCCAAAAACTCTTTTTTCAAGTTTCAATCAAATTCTAAACGCTAGCTAAGAGTATGCCTTAATTCCAAATAATTGGTATTACAAAATAATCTATTAAATACATAAAAAATGATGGTTAATAAATATTTTTTAAAAGTTTAAATTTAAGCATCTACTTCCGATTTTTGAACTCGAGATGAGCTAATACTATTTTTTAAAAATTAACAAACAATTGACGTCCATAACACGATTTATACTATCTCTCCCTCTTAATTTCCTCTCAATCCGCGTACTGTCGGCAGATTTCGCCATAGATTCAGCACACAAAATTTTTCACACTCAGTACTGCACATTTGAATCTCTACAGCATTCTCTATTTCTCAGATCTCAGCAAAAATGCGGAGGTAAATTTCGCCTAATTCCATACATAAAATCTCTTATATTCACAAAAAGTCTGCTAATTTAGTAACGTTTTGGATCTGATGGTTATGACGGATTTTTGTTCACAGGCCAGGGCATCGGCAACCGTTGAAGCAACAATTAGGAGGCGTTAAGGCTATGTTCACGAGGCTTTCGATTGCTGTAATCGTACTCGTGATCTGTATGCTCATGCTTTTAACGACGATGTCGAGTAGTAACAGTAACGGTCCTTCAGCTGAGGTATTGCTTTAAGCTATTTGTATTTGTAGCTATTTGTTTGGAATTTTAACATTTTTCGTCTAATTTTGAGTGATGAATTTGCTTGGCTTGCTTTTGTAGTTTTTTGTTGCTTAATTTTGTTAGATATGTGGTGATTTAGCTAGAAGATCACTCTAATTTACTTTTGTAATTAGTTTATGAGCTTAGGTTATGTGCACTGGCAGTGTAAAAAAATATTTTCCGTCACTTGAAAAGTAATTGCAGGTAACTCTATTTAATAACTTGATTAGTAATCTTTATAAGTGGTAAGTAACCTGATATAAATGGTTAAATACATCGATGGTGTAAAAAATACATTACAATGTCAATGCATACAAATTGAATCCTTAGTTTTTCTAGGGATTCTACAGTCGATTAGTGTTACAGTTGTCATTTTTAATAGGGTTTAAGTTATATACAACAAGTTTTTTTATGCTATTAGTGAATTTTAACTTGTGATAGTAGATTAGTTATCATTTTTACTATATTACCAATTAATGTTTATCAAGTGATTACCTAATAAGTAAACTTGAATAATTATTTGCATAGAACTTAAACTCTTTTTAATGTTCTTTTTTTTGTTCAATTTTATTTTATGTTTTTGTTTTCTCTTAATAAATTCACCTTGACCTTGTTCAACAAGTATGTAATATTTAACGGCCTTGCGATGGTTTTATCTTTGTAATGTTCTTTCTCTAAATTTATTATCTATATATTTCACATTCTTGTGAAATTTTTTGCAACAGATAGCTCTTAATCACCTATCCTAATACGTTATATGCACCTTTTTGAAGAAAATTTAATACTGAAGTACGTGAGGATAATTCTATGAGGTTAACTTGGTCATGTGCTCTCATAATCGATCAATCTGCTTCAAATATGGATTTGTCATTAATCAAAGTAGATGTCTCTTGTTAGGGTCAGTAAGACTAGGGTATAGTCTGATCATTTGAAGTCATAGGCAGTAGAAGGATGTAGAGACAAAAAAGATGTTCTTATTAAACGAGGCTTCTTGATTCATAGAATTGGCCATGCTTGCATAGTCCCAAAAGATGAGCCTGTACACTAGCATATAGTAACACATACTACCTAATATGTAATACTTGCATGAGTTGAGCCATTTCTTAATCTTTGTATGTAAATGCTTAATCCTGTGTCATCATGGAATCTGAACTAGCAGTTCACTTTTCTTCAGTTGATTATTATTGTATGTATTTATATGCTTTGCCCTATCTGAGCAGATCGATGCGGAGACGCTCTGGGGAACTGCCGATTCTAAGGGTTGGAGGCCGTCATCTGCTCCTCGATCAGATTGGCCTCGTATGCAATTTTACCCATCAATGTCCTAAACCAATTTAAAATGAATGTAGTAGTTACAATCTCTAAATCTTCAATTCTGTAGCTTTATGTCAATGTTTCTGCATCTTTTCTCTTCTTTTGCAGCTCCTCCAAGTGAAAGCAATGGCTATTTACGGGTTCGATGTAATGGTGGTCTGAACCAACAACGTAGTGCGGTGTGTAACTGATCCCTGGTGTGAGGTTTATGAATATTTTCTTCCTATAATCTGTTTACCAAAGTAAATTCCTTGTGTTCTTGTATTGTTGTTTTTATCAAAGAACATGAATTTCAGAAGTAGGTAACATAGTTAGTCAAACAACATCAACTTCCGGAAGTAGAACTAGATAGGAAAGGTTTCCTCATCTTATTGGAAGGATGTGCAAAGAAGCTAGCGCAAGAAAAGTATATTCAGATAGGTAGTTGGAATATAAGCTTGTGGACAGAAAAGTCAATAAAATTCTGATTTTTAAGCAAACAATTCACATGTCTAGGCTTAGTGTTCTAGTAAAGTGGCATGGTAGATGAAAATGTAATGCTGAGAATTTAAATAGGAGTGATACAATAAGTTGAGTGATATGTGATAGATACCTAACAATGATTAAATCGAAGTGGTGGTTAAGTCGCGATGATTTCTTGTGTAGACCTCTTCTCATTGCTAATGTGAGTTCACCATGGATTCACATCAGATTCCAATGACAACTGCATCTGTATGCTAGGGCCCTCATTAAGTGCAATTGATCGGTGATACCGTCCAAACAAGTATTTGTTCGTTTATTCTTAAATAAGGTGTTAACTAGATTCACAATGTTCTATGTGAGGTCAATAAAATATAGTGAAAGGGTCTGAAAGGCAAGTAGTGTTATATAGGAGTGCTTGTTGGCCTAGCTCAAGATGTCCGCAAGATAAATTTTGTTAAAATGCAGTTGTTAAGTTGATTCATAGTCATAGAAGATTGCTCAAGATCAGAAATGATCACGTCCGACTGAAGGTGAAAATACCAGAATAATATGTCGTAAGGTCACCTGAAATAGTTTGACCATATCCTCTGTGCACTTCCAGAGGCACTGATCATGTACAATCTCATGATTGAAGGTGATAAAAGAGGATGACATAGACAATCCATGTGAAGGTAGATTATCTAAAAGGACTTGGAGTAGTCTCTTGTAATCAATGCATGTTTAGCTAAGAACAGACATAATGCAAACAAAAGTTCTACATATGCAAGGATGACGACTTTTTTGTTGTTGTTATTGTTGTTGCACTTATATTATCTCTGATGTTTGTTAAGGTCCTTCTATTTTGTCTAGGCATATGCATGTCTTTGTACAGATACATGTGAATTTAGAGAACCTGTAGTTTTTAAAAACTCCTAATTCATCTTAAAAGACAATTATTTTGTATTTTAATGAATTGAACCTGGCCAGAATGGATAATGAGAATTCATATAGTTGATCTAGCTAATTTGGCAACTGATTGTTGATTGATTGGTATCTCTTTTTTCATCATTTATGTTGCATAAATTGCTTATACTCAACGTAACAAATACTTGTGACTTTATAGATCTGTAATGCAGTTCTTGCTGCAAGAATTATGAATGCTACACTGGTGCTACCTGAGTTGGATGCAAATTCCTTCTGGCACGATGATAGGTACTTATTTCCTCGAGTTTCCTAATTCTTCTACCATTTAGAACATGTATCAAGATCGACATTTTTATTTGAGTATGTTGCTTAAATTTCTGTACTATAATGGCATTGGTTCTAAGTATGTCTCAATAAGATGCACGATATTATTCCAAATCTATCAGAAAAAGTAAAAAACAGGCTGGCCAATATGAAGTTACATTTTACCTGTCAAAAGAAAGTAGAAAGCAGTTTATCTAATACTCTTGAAATAATTCTGTACCTTAATTCCACATGGGAAAATCATTTTGAGCGTGATATTTGTGCTCTCTCTGTTTACTTTTTTTTGTTCTTGAAATTATAACCATTTCAAGAATTTTTTAAGAAGAAAAGGGAATCTTTATGCATATAGCAGTATACATACTAGTCATGCACCCATTTGTTGGTAGACTTTCTCTGATAGAGATGGCCTTCAGAAATTAAAGGACATCTAAGAGTTAGAAACATTTTGAAGTTAAGTAACTCATCTTGAATCAGGGGCATCAAGACTTTTAGTTTTCTTTACTTAATGTTTTTGAATTTTATTTGTTATACTGCTGATGTTATTACTGGATATGTTACCGAGTGATTTTGCTATTCTTGTTTCTGGTGCTGCTCTACAAAAGGTTTACTAGAAAATAGGATTAAACTCAGCTAAGTAAATCCTATGGCCTTATGGTGTTTACAGTGAGAAGTTTGAGACTGTTGCATCAATGTCTTTATAGCTCACGGAGGAAGCTTGCCCTTGAATTTGGTATTGATGTATTTTAGACAGTCCCTCAAAGTTTTTGGTGGAGTTAGTCTGTTACCATTCACATAGTCCCCAAGCTTCCTGTTGATTGATTTATAATCCTCACAATATATTTAGTAGATTGAGTTTTTACCATTAACTGAGTCATAATATGTAACTTTATTTCTATTAATGTTCAGTGGATTTCAAGGTATCTATGACGTTGAACATTTTATCAAGACATTGAAGTATGATGTAAGAATAGTGGAAAGTATTCCAGAAATTCGGAAAAATGGGAAGGTCAAGAAGATAAAAGCAAAACAGGTATATATTGCGCCGGCAGAGTTTGATAATGTTCTTCTTGAGGTTCTCATGGACTTAAAATGAAAGCATTTTTATTCCAGATTCGACCACCTAGAGATGCTCCTATCAGTTGGTATACAACAGAGGCTCTAAAGACGATGAAGGAACATGGTGCCATTTATCTTACTCCTTTTTCACATCGACTGGCAGAAGAGATTGATAATCCTGAGTACCAGCGGTTGAGATGTCGAGTTAATTATCATGCTCTTCAATTTAAGCCTCATATTATGGAGTTAAGCAACTCAATAGTCACTAAACTTCGTACGCAAGGCCACTTTATGACGATACACCTTCGTTTTGAGATGGATATGCTTGCATTTGCTGGGTAAGTAACTCATTGCTGCGTGCGCCCAAGTTGATTAAAGGTTAAAGCTCAAGTGGTGCTTTAGTACCCCATCCTCTGTCCTTTTCTTAGGTGGCCCGGGGGAAAACTGAAACAGTGTCATAAGCTTCAAATCTCTTTTCTCTTTCTCACGTTGTTTCTTTTCCTGTTCCTTTTTGGCCAGGAAAGTTTATGAGCTGATTACAAAAGTAATTGCTCTATTCCATTGTTATCCTTAGCCCATGAAGTACTTCTAGTTGGGTGTCTAGTAGTGTAGACCAAAAATCTTTTTTTTTAGCATGAGTTTGAGATCTGTTTAACCTTGGACTCATTTCTGCAGGTGCTTTGACATATTTTCTCCTGAAGAGCAAAAGATTTTAAAGAAGTATAGGCAGGAAAATTTTGCAGAAAAAAGACTTGTTTACGATGAAAGAAGGGCGATTGGGAAATGTCCACTAACTCCAGAAGAGGTAATCTTGTAGATACTTGTACACAATGTGTGGATGTTCTTCAAAATTACAATTTTCCTGCTATAATTTTTTGATTGAAAGCCATCTTAAAATGGGTGAATATGTATCATTTGGATGAGAGTAGAGGTTAAAGATTTTTAAAGGTAGCTTTAATTCTTTCTGATAACAATAGTCTGTATCTCAAGTAGACTCTGCTTTTCCGAGAAAATAACTTGGCATTTAAGGAAGTGTATCTATGTAAAGAGGAACTCTGGAAATCACTATAGAAGTTTAGTCATTGGAACTTGATATCATTTAATACCACCATCAAAGAACTCCTTTTGGAACACAATGGGAAGGTGCAAAAATAGACGGGCAGAGAGTTTGTAAATTCCTTGTGATTTTTTATGATGATATTTGTATTAATCTCAGTCTGAAATAGTTTTGAAATTTTAAGAAGCAATGACAGAACAAGGTGAGGATATTCAGGGTATGAGAAGATGCTGTTTTTTAGTTTCCTCTCAATGACTTGAATGAGTTTGTGAAAAAGAATTGTCTTTCTCTTGTTTTGATGAAGCTCAACTTTAACTTGACTTACTTAACATGCGCGCCAGTGTTCACAGTAGAAAGGCGTTCAAACAATAGGGAATTCAATAATTCTTTGTGAATTATTTAAGTATATGCGTGGATACTTTGTATTGTTAACTGGAAATTGGTATTCAGGTATTGATATTTTACGTTTTAATTTGGCAGGTGGGTCTTATTTTACGTGCAATGGGTTTTGACAACTCTACTAGGATATACCTTGCTGCAGGCGAGCTCTTTGGTGGTGAACGATTCATGAAACCTTTCCGGTCCATGTTCCCACGCTTGGAGAACCATAGTACAGTGGACACCACGGGTGAGCTAGGTAAGAACACAAGGGGCTTGTTAGGCTCAGCTGTGGATTATATGGTCTGTCTTCTCTCTGATATTTTCATGCCAACTTATGATGGACCAAGCAATTTTGCGAACAATCTCCTTGGTCACCGGCTATACTATGGTTTTCGCACAACAATCCGACCTGATAGGAAAGCGCTGGCCCCTATCTTTATCGATCGTGAAAAGGGTCATACAGCAGGTTTTGAGGAAGCAGTTAGGCATGCCATGTTAAAGACAAGCTTTGGTGGACCTCATAAGCGGATCTCACCTGAATCATTTTATACTAATTCTTGGCCTGAGTGCTTTTGTCAAAAATCAGCCGTAAATCCCGCTGATAAATGTCCACCAGATAATATTCAAGATATCTTAGAAAGTCAACTGGAGAATGAAGGAATCAGTGACTTCGACGCAAGCAGATCAAATTTGACGTCAGCCGTGGATAAGTAGATGTTCTGCGTGAAACTTCTGGGGTGATATTTTTGGATTTTGAAATGATGCGCACCATGAGGTCAAATGGAAGAAATGAGCCAGGGTTTTGTTATCTATAGGTTGGCATTAAAGGTATCACTTATCTCAAATCATTCTTATCGAGCTATTGTGATGTTATACTTGTACATTTTTGTTGACCACCTGACAACAATAAATGTAGCTGCCAATGGGGTTGAGTAGGAGGTTAGTTTACAGGAATTAGATGTATGGAGAATATGGTCGATTGGTATTTGAGATTGGCGTTCGAATTACTTTTCCAACACGAGAGAATCCAGAAAGGGTTTATATGTAGGACCAAGGGACTGAATTATCACCTTCTTTTGAGCAGTATCAAGGAGTCATTTACCAAGCCACTTGATGCTGGAGTTGTCGAAATCTGCACATTTTATTCTGCTCACTTTTTCAGGTTCTCTTTTGGTGTTTGGCGATGCCTATTTCATCAAGAATCATTGTTGTATCTGATTTGATGTCTTCTCCAAATAAGAAAGTAGATTCTTCCCTACATTTCATCATTGTGTTTTAATATTTGACTACTACTGGTTTCGAGTATCTGCAATTATACACTAGATTTGTTATTTCAGGTCTGACTGCTGGTATTTATTTATTTTTATTTTGATAACTATGGTGTCCGGGCCAGTTGTGCGCACCTCGACTAATTCCACAGAATACTTGCCACCTCCCACCAGCAACAGGTACCGGGTAACTCTATCCACCAAGGCTTGGATAGATGGGAAGAAATTACCTCCTAGTGTAATTTGCCTTCACATGAATTTGAACCCGAGACCTCATAGTTCTCATCCACTTCATTGACCACTAGACCACACTGTTAGGTGCGGCTGGTGTTTAACTATAACGGGAAGGTGTTATTCATATACGAACAAGGGAAAACTTAACCAGAAAGTATTGAGCAATTCTACGTAGTCTCCATTTTCTTTCAAATTAAGAATCACTTTGTACATTCTGGGGGAATGGTTTGAAATCTATTGGTGTCTTTGCAATAATCATAAGTCATATATTTGCGCCTGTCCTTATATGATTTTTCTTGAGCATAAGTTAGTTTCCAAAATTGCTTGGAATTCCACCAGAAGTTGGTAGAATTACAGTTCAAACTATAATTAGAAAATGGGCAGCCTTCAATGGTGAAGCCTTGGAATTGAGCTGTGAATGGAGAATTAGACCAATTGATTTTGGCACTTCCATTTTCTGTTGCCCAAGTTTCTCCATTCCATATTGTAGCCTCTGATTGCATTGATTGTGTAGGGTATCCAACTCCTCTATGGGATTTGTTCTTGTAAACCCTAATGGGTACTTCGTCTACGAAAAATCTGTAAATAAACAAATTAATTAGATCAACAGCAACAACATACCCAGTGTAATCCCACAAGTGGGGTCTGCGGAGGATAGTGTATACGCACACCTTACTCCTACCTTGTGAAGGTAGAGAAGAAAATTAATTAGACCATAATCATGTATTAAATAGCTAAATGAAAACATAATATGAGCATCGAGAGCTGAGAGGTATGATGGAATGATTGACATCTCTCGACTCTGAACAAGAGGTCTCGGTTTCGATCCTAGGAATAAAAAATATTTTGCCGGTAAAATTTTTATGTCTTGCTTTACTCTTAAAGAAATATCGAAATAGTTTCAGATACAATGTCAAGGTCAGAAAAGATCTTGAAGCAGAAGCTCCTACGATGAAGCCGAGCCGATACAATAGGCGGGAGAAAGGAAGCGTGAAAGCTAAGAAATATGAATATTAACCTTCTCAGTGGGCCTATCCGATGAGAAACAAATTAGTCAAACCAGTAAATTTTAGATATTGGATGGTTAAAGGAAAAAAAACACAATTCTAAGGGTAGCCCGATGAACAAAATATCCCGCATTCGCACTGGGTCCGGAAACCGTATGATTCTATAGAAGATAAATAAACTTACACAATCTGATGTGAGTTCCAGAGGATTGAATACTCATGAAAATTTGCAGTTGGATCGAACCAAAGTTGAATTCTCTGCTCTCTATCACCGATACCATTTGCAAATACGTTTGTTTGCAATGTGTATGGTTTCCCTTCTCTATTACCCAAAAACTCGAAATCTAATTCATCGTGGTTGTTTGTATGTGAAATCAGCTGCCAAAAGGTTAAAATAACAATTTAAAAAAAAAGAAGAGATAAAACAATAATACAATTTATAAACTAGTTTAATCAACTATCTCTTCCATCACAACAGATATTAATTTAGTTACTTAAGATAATTTTTTTTTTGAATCGGTAATTATTGTATATATTAAAAACATCAGTACATAGGTTGCACTGAAAACTAGATTTACATGGAGAGGATTAGTAGATGTTCTAATTCGAGACCTAGCAAGATCCTAGTATGTCTATGATTGTCAATGTATCTTTTATGTAAATCTGTTTGCACCAAAAACAAAAAAGAAGAATACAATTGAGTTTTATCTTCTGCACTGGATTGCTTCTATCTTCAAAACATCTATTGTTCCTTTCCCTCCAAACTGTCCACCAGATACAAGCCGGGACAGTCTTCCATCTATCTCTACTAGTTGCTTCAGCTCCAGCTTCTTCCCAGCTATAAAGGACATCTTTAAGCTTGTATGGCATTGACCATGAAATACCCCTAAGACTAATAAAGATTTTCCATAGTTGGTCTATAATCTTGCAACGTAGAAACAAATGTGTGACAGTTTCAGCATTTTCCCTGCACAGAAAACATCTTGAGCACAGAGAAATTCCTCTTTTTATGAGATTATCCTGTGTTAATACCGCCTCCTTTGCTAGTAGCCAAGTGAAGCAAGCTACCTTGTATGGAATCTTTGTTTTCCATATATGTTTCCAAGGCCATAGGTCCACCTGTTGATTATTATGATTCAAAATCTTATATGCATCCTTCACCCGGTAAACCCCTCTGTTGTGCCTCTTCCACCAAAGTGAATCAAAACCTTCCTGTAATCCTTTAAATGCTTCCAGCTCTTTGTAAAGGTCAGCTAATCTTGTTATCTCCCAATCATTCAACTGTCTTCTTAGATTGATTTCCCATCCTTGATGACTCCTTATATCAGCTACTGTCTTATGCTGGTTTTGTGCTAAACCAAACATATCGGGGTATCTTTCCTTTAAGCTTCTGTTTCCTAACCAATTATCATTCCAAAATGTTGTGTTCCTTCCGTTGTTCACTCTTATGGAGGAGTGATTCTTCATTATAGGCCAAAGTTCTCTGATGGATTTCCACACACTTACTCCATATGATGTTCTGACTTTTTTTGACACCCAGTTATTTTCCTCACCATACTTTGTTTTGATCACTTTGCCCCATAAAGATTGGTGTTCTTGAGAGTACTTCCATAACCATTTCTTTCTAAGAGCCTTTCTATGGTTCTTCAAATTCCTTATTCCTAAGCCACCTTGTTTTTTATCCATTGTGAGTGTCTTCCATTTAACTAAATGGAAGACCTTTTTTTCCTTATTACCTTGCCAAAGGAATGATCTTCGGAGTTTGTCCAATCTCTGTAAAATGCATGCTGGAATTGTGAACAAAGACATCATATAAGCAGGAAGTGAGTCTAATACTGAGTTGATTAGAACTAGCCTGCCCCCCAATGATAGGTATTGTGATCTCCATCTTGACAGCTTCTTCTCACACTTTTCTATGACTGAATTCCAGATTTCTTTTGATTTGGATCTTGCACCAAGAGGCATCCCAAGGTAAACAGTTGGTAGGGACCCAACTTCTCCTCCCAATATCTGTGTCAGTTGCTCCATGTTGTTAACTTCATTAATGGGAAAAATATTGCTCTTTCTCCAGTTGATGTGTAATCCTGAGACTCCCTCAAATAAGACCAAAATGATTCTTAGGAATCTAAGTTGGTCCTTTTCGGCATCACAGAAGACTAGAGTATCATCAACATATTGGAGATGTGTGATCTCTAGATTGTTTGCCTCACTTCTGTTTACCTCAAAACCTTTAACCCATCCACTAACTTTAGCTGTTTTGATCATGTTGTTCAATTCTTCCATGGCTATAATGAATAGAAAGGGAGATAAAAGATCACCTTGTTTTAGACCTCTGTGTGAATGGAAAAAACCTTTAGGAGATCCATTTATGAGAATGGAGAATTTTACAGTAGATATGCAAAATTTCATCCATCAATTCAATTTTTGCCCAAAACCCATTAGTTCTAACATTCTGAGTATGAAGCTCCAATTTACATGATCATAGGCCTTCTCAATATCTAATTTGCATAAAATTCCAGGTTCCTTCTTTTTTATTTTTGAATCCACAGCTTCGTTGGCAATCAACACAGCATCTATTATTTATCTTCCATTGATGAAAGTTAATTTGTTGAGCATCGACAATTTTCCCTACCACCCTCTTAAGTCTTTCGGTTAAGACTTTTGAGAGCAATTTGTAGAAGCTCCCTATCAGACTGATCGGTCTGAAATCTCTCAATTCTTTCGCACATGTCTTCTTTGGAATCAAAGCTATATATGTTGCACTGAAGCTTTTCTCAAACATCTTCTGAGAATGGGAGTTGTTGAAGGCCGCCATGATGTCTTCCTTCAAAATGTCCCAACACTTTCTGAAAAAACCCATTGTGTATCCATCTAGTCCTGGGGCCTTGTCACTTGCACACATCTTCAAACAGGTCAAAACTTCTTGTTCCTCAAAGTTACTCTGTAAAAACTCCCTTTCTGATTCAAAAATTCTTGAGCTATTTTCGAAATTGACCGTTGGTCTCCACTCTTCAGGTTCTTTGTATAACTCCTTGTAGAATTCAGTTATCTCAATCTCTATTCTGTCTGGATCCTCGACTACTTCATGTCGAATCATTAGTTGATCAATGTTGTTGTTTCTCTTGTGTGCATTTGCTGTGCGATGGAAAATTTTTGTATTCCTGTCCCCTTCTTTGAGCCACAAAGCTCTTGATTTTTGTCTCCATACAATTTCTTCATTCTTGAGTTGTTCCTCAATCTCCATTAGAGTAGCTGCTTTCCTCACTGATTCCTCCTCTGTCAGCGCTCTTAGTTGTTGTGTTGTCTCAAAACCTGCTAGTTGACTTAGCAATTTTGATTTTTGCAGTCCCAAATTACCTTCATAAACTCTGCTCCATTCTTTTAGCTTGCCCTTGAGAGCTTTTAACTTGCAAGCTAAAATGTAATATGGTCTTCCTGAGAATTCAAAAGATGCCCACCAGTCTCTAATTCTGTCATTAAAACCTTCCACATTCAGCCACCAATTTTCAAACTTAAAGTATGATTTAGCTTGTTCCCACGCACCACAGTATAGAGCCACAGGTGAATGGTCCGAAATCAACCTTTGTTGGATAGTTTGCTTGATGTTTCTGAAGCTTTCATCCCAATCTTCTGAAATGAGAAATCTATCGATTCTTGAAGCGGCTGTATGATTATCCCCTTTGAACCAAATATAGTAGCCTCCTTCAAGTTGTAGATCTATCAACTCCATATCTTTTATAAAATCCGAGAATTCCACTATCGCTTTGGATCTCCTTGAACATTCCCGTTTTTCAGAAGGGTACCTTGTAACGTTAAAATCGCCACAAACTGCCCAAGGACCTTCCATCAATCCCCTCACTGAACCAATTTTTCTCCATACTATTTTCCTTTCTATTCTACAATTTGGGGCCATACACTCCTGTTATGTGACATTGAAAATTCTGTAAAAGAGCCTCGAAATTGCAAGTCAAAGTGTATGCACCAGTCTGTAACACATCCCCTTTCCATACTCTGCAATCCCATAATAACAAAATCCCCCCTCTCGTGCCGCTAGCTTCTAAACTTGCATACCTCACCCATCTACCACCCCATATTTGACTGACTATTTCCTTAATATCCCCCTCCACTTTTGTCTCTTGCATGCATCAAAATGTCTGACCTCCAGTTCTGCACTTGACTTTTTATGATCTCCCTTTTCTTCTTTTCGTTTAATCCCCTTACATTCCAGGAAATTACTTTGACCTTCATATTGAAATGATTGATAGATCTCTTCCCCTACTCCTTTTCCCGTCACTCTTGAATTTGACATCAAACGAAGTTAAACCTTTTAATTCCAGTGATCCTTTGAATCNATTGTGTTACTGAATTGCTATAGGATTCACCTCCTCGATTTCCCAATCTTGGATAGAGCTAAAGTGCTTTAGTTGTTCCAAAGCACTTCCAACCTGATCTTCCCCCATATTTGTTTTTGTGCTCTGCTCCCCTGCCTTTTGTTCCAGTCTTGCTATCTCTGCTCCACCTTCTGGCTGACTACAACTGTTAAGTGTTGCCTTTGGCATACTTTCAAGGTTTTCATTGGGGATTGGATCCCCTGGAGTGGACTCTTTTGCCCCCAGGTAAGAATGTCCACCCATTTCCTCCATACAAGGCTTCAGCCTAATATTATCAGAAAACTCACACGAGAGATCATTAAAAATGACTTGTGCAGCCAAGTCGGAGTCATAGGATTTCAGCTCGTTGTTTGTCGCTTTACTGCTCTGATTCATCGAACTCGAACCTTGTGTAAATTGCACATTTGTCTTTCCTTTATCAGTGTTTTGCAATATGGTGCACCCCACTAGATTGTTCAAATATCTCTCTATTTCAAAACATTGTTCGCTTTCTTGCATCTTCAACTCATATCTTGTCTGTCTTTCAGCCCAGATTGGGATGAAAAATTTGATACCGTCTCTTTCAATCCTAACTCATTAGGAGTCTTTATGCCATCACCAACAATTTTAATTCTTGCCCACTTAAGATGATTTTTGAGATCAATTTCTTCTTCAGTAGCTATCCATCCCCACAGAGATCTCCTATTTCTTTGAAGATCTTTTGTGACCATAGATGTAAAGGAATCTTCATGGCTCTAATCCAACATGTTTCCTCGATTTGTGAGTTTGGAATGCATCCAGCAGTATGACTCCACCATTCCAGATGAAGCTTGAACTTTTTCCAACTCCATTCTCCTTGCATAATCTGCTCCGCCATGAATCTGTTTGGAAATTCAAAAAGAAACATGTTGCATGTCATTTCATACATGTTTACTCCATATGCTTTGTTCCATGACGCACTAGCCCATCGCTTTATGTTTGCTAGAGTGGGTCTCTCATTGATTTCTTTCCCAAAAAATCCGATAATGCATCTTTTTAGTAAACTAGAATCCTCGCTACCTGTCGGTTCCACAACAGAGATATCTCCATTGTTTATGCTGACCTTTGCCTCTCAAAGGATATTGGATTGCCATTTACTCTCCTTGATTGCTTTGACATAAGGGTAGTTGTCCACAATGATTCTAGGTGGGGCTGTGGGATTCATTTTGGGGGTCTGATGTATGAATCTTTCTATCTTAGCTGCTATGTCTTTCCAACCCGCATTCAAAGTTAACTCTGGAATTATAATAACAGACCTCCCTTCTCCCTTCAGTGACAGAATGCTCATGTATCTTCCATGAACGTTGAATTTCCTGGTACAGAAATGTTCTGTCATATGTTCCTTGTACTTCCATCGCTTCACTAAATTCATTTGATCTTTCGACTCTTCTTTAAGTACAAAACAAATCCATTACATTACCTTTCTGCCCATGGATGAACGTCTCATCATGCTGCGGCTTCTCTCCACCCATTCGAACCATACCTCTTTGTTGGAATTCCATCTGGTGATGTCAAAAGATTTGAATCCTGCGTTGAAATAAATCTGGTTGTCTCCCATATTGTACAACCCAGTTGTTCAGGTTATGGAAATTATAAGGAGTATTTGATGGTCATCACAGTTGAGTTGTTGAGGTAAAAGAAACTGAAATTTTGGCTAAAACAGAGGTTTCCCGCTCCCGGAAAAATAAAAGTCGTCGGAAATCTGAAAAAATTGTACCGATCTGGTCGGAATTAGCAGTACAGGAAGCTGTCCAAATTTTTTTTTGAAAAGATGCCGGAAAATGGCTCACGCGCCCGGCGCGTGGTGACTGGGTCGCCGAAAAGTGCCGCGCGTGGCGGCGCGTGGAGGCTGTTTCGTCGGAAAAATTTCAGTGGAGTGGTCGGAATTTCGAGGCCTGTCTAATGGTGTTCATGGAAAGCTAAAAATTCTTGTACTCAGGCTCCTCGGGGAGTGTGCCTGAGAACTTGAAATTCTACAGTTTATCCAAAACATAATTTCCGCATACTACCCCACCTCCTTCCTAGAAAACACCCAGTAAACTGATAGTTAGAATTATTTAAGATAAAATTCATTAACATCAATATCTATATAACAATTTTCCCACCTATAAAGTAATGAAATATTTATAAAACTTAGCAAACTCACAACAAACAATAATTAGGCTATCAATCCCAAACAAGTTGGCGTCGACTAGAGTCTTCACTGTCTATGTCGCTCAATTTAAGTCCTTTTTAATCAATAGTTATAAAAAACAATTCTTTTAGCACTAAAAATTGTGTTTTATTAGTATATAAATCTCTCACAAGATTAAAAAATGTAAACGTACATGATTACAACTTAACCTCAACTAATTGATATCACATATATAATTTTTTTTTTCTCATTTTGCGTTATTCATGCATCATGTCTGTTTGATTCTAAGAGATAAAATATTCATAAAAACATATAGTTAATAAATAATTTGTATAACTCGCGAAATTAAGTGTATGTTCTTACATAGAAGGACGTCACTACTCCAGCTGTGTCTTTGCTCGGTAGCTTTATTCTCATTTTGAAGGATCCCGAGCCATAACTTAGTTTGGACTGAATTCCAGATCCTGCAGATAATTATATTTTAAAAAATTGTAATTTGATATTTAAGATTCTAAAAATAAAAACTGAAAAAAAGAAGAAATAAGAAAATTACAAAAGGAATATCACCAGAAAAATTATTAAGGGATAGCTGAATTTCTTCTCCATTGTTAAAGGACTTCAAATTATTGTCCCCCCAAGAAATCTTGTAACTTTTATCAAAGGGTAAAGCTTGACCTTCAAAAACTCTACTTAATACCAAAAGAACACTTAATAGAAGGAAATCCATTCAGTAAATAACAAAGTTGCACTAAAACTTATCCCTTTTTAAGAAAATAAAATAAAATCTATTTCTCTAAGATATTTAGAAGGTGGGTTTCTTTTCTTCTTTTAATTGGATTGAATGAGTAAATAAAGAATTTTAAAGTGGCTTAAATTGAATTAGATCAATAAATATGCCTTCAATTCATACAAAAAAAAAAAAAAAAAAAAAANTATTCGACTAATTAGCTAATTTCTTCTAATCATATTTTTTTATTATTTCCTAATAAAAAAGATGTATTTGTATCATATGTTCCACATCAAACTATGAGTGTATGTATTTTGAAACCTGTTAATGACGTAATTTGGTAATGAGTGGTGGGGGGGGGGGGGTGAAGGAGGGATTTTAGTAACTGATGTGTCAAAATGCAAAATTAATCATATTCTCATTCTCAAGTTATACATTTTTTCGAAGTTGTACTTCCTTAAGCTTACAGCACATCAAAATTTGAAAAAGAAAAAAAAAAGAACAAAAAATATGGGTGTTAATATTGAGAGAATGTAGTAATACACTCACTCTCCCCTACCACACCCCTTCCCTTTCCTTCTCTGTGTATGTGTATGACTCAAAATAATCATAAATTTCAGAAAAATTTATATATCAAGTTTCTTCATAGAATAAAATGTATGCCTCACAACTAAGAACTTCTTTCGAAGAGACCTCGCGAACATAAGCATCGCTTGCATAATACCACGCAAAATCTTCCGCGTTCTTGTCTTTCCCTGTGATTTTAGGACTTCCTCTAACATATGCAACATAATGACCTCCCCTCATCGTCCCTGAGTGTTCGACTACACCAATAAGGCAGTATTTGTATATCTCCTTCTGCAGGGACCTGAAACGGCATTAAGTTATCAGCACGCCATTTCAACAGAGAAATTCCATTTTGCAGAAACTTTTAGAACGATGACATTTTGCGTGTGCATTGAACATATGACCATTTTATGGACGAATCTTTGATATTTGATGACATACTATAAAGGACATTAGAAATACAAAGCTTCAAGCTAACATGCTGGGAATGTATTGAGAAGCAAATATACAAGTAAAATTAACACAGTAAATAAGCAAGCACCACAAGCACTAAAATATCCCCTTACTTGGGCGGATCCAAGATTTTATAATTATGGGTTCCGACAATGACTTCAAGTTAATATACAGTAATAACTAGGTTCATAGTCAAATATGAACCCATAAATTCCCTTTAGATCCGCCCCTGCCCATACTGGGTCCTAAGAATAAACTGCAGTTTTGTCGACTTTTACCTTCTTGCTCCAATACTATGATTTTTGCCGCTTCCTACTCCATACGTTTTTCAGTTAGTCTTGCGCTATTTTGTATCAAATTCATTGCGAATGCAAGCTAGAGAATATTGCTCTAATATAGTATCTTCTAGTTCAAGCCAGAGGTCTTTGACAAAATCCAAATTATTAACCCACAAATGATGTCTAATCATTGACCTTTAGAAGGTAAGAAGTATGCATCATACTATCAAATGATTTTAAACAAAATGTCGTCTAGCTTGTCCTCTGAACTTCCTAATATGTACTCCAAAGCTTTTGGCTGATATTTATTAGGTTTCCCCCTTAAAATATGGATTAAATTATTAGAATCTCATTAAAAAAAAATTAACAACGGATACTCAAAAGTCCAGAGATAATTACATGTCCAAATGAAGGAGAATCAACACACGAATCTCAGTCTAATGAACAAGGGATACTCAAAAGTCCAGAGATAATATAAAGTCCAAATGAAAGAGAATCAACACACCTGGTTGCAATATATGGTTTGAGATCAATGGTATCTCTAAAATTCACATGGCCACTCAGCTTACTCAGGCGCCCTCGAGCATCTTGACTGAACCTCTTTAGGTGAATCGTCAAAATAGGAGGGCCCTTATCAATTAGGATCCTTTTCGTTGCATCTCTCTCAACTTTAACACATTTAACAACTGTCTCCTCATTCTCACTTTCTTCAGATTCAGAATTAGCAGAAACCAATGGAGCTTCCAGCAGTTGAACTTCATTGCTCTTAAAGTCACTTTTCACTTGACTATTATCTTCATCCTGATTTTCCTGTGTGCCATTTTCTGATAGCCAAGAGGCTGAATCTTGCTCAGCTCGAGGACTGGTTCCCTTTTGGGACAACAACCTGTCGTCAAAAGTTTCTCCTGAAGAAGATGCACCATTTGGATTTTGGTCCTCCCGTATGTTCATAATATTATGTGATCTAGGCTTCATCAATTTATTCTTAAATCTCATCCTCTTTTCTTTTAGAACTTTTGTGCAATTTTCACATTTCCAAGCATGTTCAGTTTTGGAAAGAAGCTCGGGCTTTGTAAAATAAGCCAAACAACTCTCCACTGACACTGGAGCATCTCTATTATCAATCTCTTCCGGATCAGACTCGCTGCTACCATTGGCCTGAGAAGCAGCAGAACTGCACAAAGGCTGTTCAGAAGGTTGTGCATCAGAATCAAGTTCATTAAATAAGTCTCCAAAACCATTGAAGTCCAATAAATCTTGTTCGCAACGAACAGCAGTTGAGGATTTGCAACCTCCTTTTAACATGTCATCAGCAGTTGAGGTTACTTCTTTGTAAGGAAGTAACAGAACCTCGGAATCTTGTAACTGTAGTGGGGCTTCATCTTCCGATGGCTTCGTATATGAATCTGTTCCAAGATTTGAATCCACAGAGCAAATACGGCTGCAGAATGCTGAGCTGTGCTCAACATTTATAGCATCTGTTGTTCCAGAGTCTTTAACCAGTAACTTTTTACTGAACTCAGAAGCTATATCGCAGTCTGGTGATTTGGATTGTCCTTGATCATTCAAGCGCATTAAATTATTAGGAGAACAAGCGTTGTCTATACATGTCAACTTCATCTCTGTATCAGCAACCAGATTATTCTGCAAAGCATCAACAGGTTGAACAGAATTTTCAGTTTCAGAAACCTGATTAGTCAGCATGTGATCAACTTGTGAAACCACATCATCACCATTTGGCAGTGTATCCTGATCGAGATAATCCAACCATGTGAAATTGTCCGCTGAAGCCAACGTCCTAGACATGCCCTCGCAATTTTGCGCATTATCGGACTTACGAGAGGAACATAAGTTCTGTGAAGTTAAACCCATATAGTCAGCCATAACACGAGCATCAATGAAATCTTGTGATACATCAGCAGAAGGAACTGCCATTCCTTCAGTGACAGATTTCTCCCCATCTCCTTGGGCACTTTGAGCAGTAGGAGGAGCTGCATCTCTGATAACTTTAGGGCGAACTTTTACACTTCTCATAGGAGGTTTTGATTTTTTGGCACGGAATACTGATTTAGCTCCTTTAGCTGGAGGTTTTTTTGTTGGAACAGGCAACGAGAGATCCAAGAATGGTTCATGCACTACTGAAGTGTGCCCACATTCAAGACAACTAACAGTGCTCGAGAGTCGACCACCAAAGATGTTATCAACAAAAGTTGGACATGCACTTAGGGACTTGCCACCATCCTGAGAAGATTTGATTTGTTTTCTGGCGATCAATTCCTCAGTACACAGACGATCAAGTAAACAACGAAGCAATTCGTGACTGTCCTGCTGTTGGTATCCTCGAAATTGTGGAGCCTTGGCACAGATTGAACCAAAGAAAGCTTTTGGATTTACAGTTCTTTTCAAGGCACCTTCATTGCTTGTCTCAGAAAAGAGCTTCTTCAGAGCAGCAGTAATAGGACCAGCAAAACCATCAAACTTAAGGAAGTAATCCCGTAGTCTATTCATTGCCAGTAGGTTCTGCATTATTGAATTAAAAAAACATGTGTTCCCTAAATTAACCAGTCCCCTAACTATATAACCACTTTTTCCATCAGCATCAAGTGAAGCAGAAGCTTCTGATTTGATCCCGCTAGTGATACTCCCACTCCCAAACCAAACAGCTTCCACATCAATAGCCAGCCCTTCAGTCGGTCGCTTTTTAATCATCTTCACAATGTCCTGAAATACATCTTTCTGTTCACTGCCATCCTCTACTTTCTTAGCATGAATCAGTGTGCTACATGGAAAACACCAGCGCAGTTGAGGATTTTCAAACTGTACAGCAAGAGGGTGATGGTACTGTCTTGCATGCCGAACTGCATGGCTCTGAGGTGTAGTAGGGAACCCAGCACCTCCACACGAGAAATGGCCGCATGCTAAACAGATCCAAATGGCTTTAGACCCCTGCTTGGGATCTGCGCCTCCCTTCTTTTTCCCATGTTTGCCTTTCATCTTACTAGCTCGTCTATCAGCTACTCCTTCCCTGCAATCCTCACACCTAACAGGTTCCGAAGACTCAAGTTTAGCAGTGACTTTCTCCACATCAATAACCTTATCGACATGTGGACATTCTTTTCTATCATTTACCACAACTACTCCATCATCAGGAGTTCCAATATTCTGATTGCTATTTTGATCAATAGGATTTGCAGATGCTAAGGGATTCCGCTTCTCCTTGACACCACTTCTCGCCTTTTTCTTGGCCTTTTTCCCCATTATTCCCTAAAAACGACCACAAACATCAAAATGGATTTAACTTGTACGTACTAACAGTGCAAATTATTTCTACACTATTTATGTCATTTAACTGGTTGTGGTAGGTCAGTTAGAACATAGCACCCAAGGTTTGGTCTAGTGATCAATGCAGTCGGAGGAGAACCATGAGGTCTCAGGTTCAAATCGGAGACAAATAACACTAGGTAATTTCTTTGCATCTATCTGCCCAAGCTTTGATGGACAGAGTTATTTGATACCTGTGCTATTTGATAATTGTGCTGGTGGGAGGCAACATATATGCGGTGAAACAATCGAGGCGCATGCAAGCTGGCTTGGACATCAATCTTACAAAAAAAAAAGGTTAGCTAGAATATTTTTCAGGTTACAACTATGTACTTATCATCGACATTTACTTGTGATTAGCTTTTTAATGACCTGATTATGTAAGTATTTTTTAAAATCAAAAGTGTTCAAGAGTCGAATTCAAACCAAATACACTCAACAGAACATTATACACACACACACACACTGTGTATAGTCAAGTTGACGAAAAAGAAGCTTGAATTCATAGTGCATTCATATATAACTGGTGACACACACAAGCACAATGATCTAATTAACACAGTAAGTAAAAAAGAAATTAGCTTTTGCAATGAAGAGGGGGATAAAGCTTGGAGTTTAAGTTAAACTAGGTTGCAAGTGTACTAAACATTTTGAATTTCATTCTAATTAATTAATATCATCATCTAGTAATTAAAAAATACCAGAAAAAAAGTCTCCCCCATAAGAATAAAAGCAACAAAAAGGATGTTTGATTTATTTTGTTTCAGTGTTTTTATCTGTGGATTACAGTTCAAAGGGTATGTAAATACAAGTTAAAGAGAAAGGATTTTTCAGAGATTTACCAGAAACTATGGTGTAAAAAGGCAGAGAAATTCCTCCTCACTGTGTGTGTGTGAGAGAGAGTGGGGTTGTGGCACCTCTTCGTATTCTACCGCTACCTCTCTCTATGGTGAGAGAGGGTGCCAAAGGGGAATTGTGTTTCTGTTTGAGGGGGGTAAAATCTCCGAGTGGGCAGTGGGGCAAATTCAAAAACCTCAATAGGCCAAGCCCTACAAGCATCACCGTCTTTGGGCCAAAATCTCAATAATCGTCCACCCAACATTTTAAATTTAAAATAACCATAATTTATAGTTAAAATAGCACGGTATAACCAATTTTTGGACCGGTCATTCAAAAATAACCACCGTTTACGAAGTCAATGAAAAATAGCCACTATTTTGTTGCAACAGAGACCGGTCCCACATAATATACGGGAGTTCGGTGCATCTGTGTACGAACTCCAGCATATTATGCTGGACCGGTATACTTTGATGACTCCTGTATAATATACGGGAGACTGGAGCACCGGTGCTCCCAACTCCAGTATATTATACTGGACATTTATACTTGCTGGAACTCCAATATATTATGCTGGAGTTCTAGTGTACTTATGCTGGAACTCCAACATATTATGCTGGAGTTCCAACATAGTTATCCTGGAACTCCCGTATAATATGCTGGAGTTCAAGCATACTTATGCTGGAACTCCAGTATAATATACGGGCGTATTTTCCGGATTTTGAACAGTGTGTTCGATCAGATTTATCTTTACATGAAAAGTGGCTAAATTTCGATTACTTTTGAAACTGGGCTATTTTTGAATGACCAGTTGTAAATATAGCTATTTCTAAATTTCTCCCTAATTTATATTATATGCTAAAAAAATAAATGGGCCAACTATTTGTATAAAGATTCCTTATTTTGATACTCACAATTGATGTTTCAAAAAATTAATAATGTGACACATAAGTCTTTATTATATATGCATATTACAAAAGAGACTAATTCATATGTATCGAGACTCCAGAGTGTTAAAAAAAGTTATATTATCACGTCATTCAAAAGACGTTCATAGCTAATTCTCCATAAGAGATAGATTTCAAGAAGATAGAAGCTCCAATGTTAGAATCAGATTGATAGGAAAAAGGAGCACCGATGGAAGAAGATACAACTTGCCTACGGTTTCAGAGGTAGCTGCTTTGGTGGTGGGAGATTTTGAACTATCTAGATGTGATAGGGTCATCATTATCGAAACCCAATCCGGACAGCTACAAAAGATAAATGAATTAAATGCTGCCTATTTAGGGTTACAATATCCTTTACTATTTCCATATGGTGAAGATGGATATAGAGAGGATATTCCTTTCGAGGGAGATGATGAATCAGCTGGAGGAAGAAAATGTGTTAGCATGCGAGAGTATTTTGCTTATAAATACAAGAAAGGAATAATGAAGTTCTGACGATTGTGTCTTCTAGAAGATTATTTCAGCAATTCTTGGTTGATGCATATACAATGATCGAATCTTCTCGATTAAGGTATATTAGGCTCAATCAAAAAAAAGTTGAGATTTCACATGTATAAAAGCTTACAAGATATTTTGCATGGAGAAATTATTCCTTCTTCTCAAGGAAAAAGGATAATTCTACCGTCCAGCTTCACAGGGGGTGCACGATACATGATTCAAAACTATCAAGATGTTATGGCAATATGCAAATAGGCTAGGTACCCTGATCTTTTCATCACCTTTACTTGCAATCTAAAGTGGCCTGAGATTAGTAGATTTGTAGAGAGTAGGGGCTTAAATCATGAGGATCGTCCAGACATTTTAGCTAGGGTATTCAAAATCAAATTGGACCGTTTGATAAAGGAATTACGCGACAATCAAATTTTTGAAAAAGTAAAAGCAGGTATATTGCCATAGTCAACTTCTAAAAAATAATAACTACTTTTTATGTTACATAGGATAATAGGTTTTAAAATGAATATTTCAATTATATTTATAAAGTGTAATAAATTCTTTTTGATGTAGTGATTTATACAGTTGAGTTCCAAAAACGAGGGTTGCCTCATACTCACGTTTTGCTTTTTCTTCACGAGCATGATAAATATCCAATTGTTGTAGATATTTATCGAATCATTTTTGCCGAAATACCAGATGAATTGGCCGATCTTGTTTATTATAAGGTCGTGCATAATTTTATGATGCATGGCCCATGTGGTTCTGCAAGAAAATCTTCTCCTTGCATGCAGAGCGGAAGATGTACCAAGCATTTTCCAAAAAGGTTATTATCCTGTTTATAGACGAAGGGATAATGGTAGAACTATCAAAAAAGATGGTATTGACTTGGACAGTAAGTATGTAGTGCCTCACAATCGGTTCTTATTACTTAAGTATGATGCTCATAATGTAGAATGATGCAATCAGTGAAGATCCATTAAGTACTTATTTAAGTATATTAACAAAGGAAATGATCGTGTTACCGCTGCTCTTTCTCAAAGTGTGCAAGAGGAAGATTCATCAAATATTGATGAAATAAATATGTATTATGATTGCCGATACATATCACCATGTAAAGCTGCTTGGAGAATATTCAAATTTCCAATTCACCATAAAGAACCTCATGTGGAAAGACTATAATTTCATCTTTCAAATGAACAAAATGTTATATTCTCTGATGATGATCCAATTGATGATGTTGCAAATAAACCAAGTGTAAAGGAATTAATGTTTTTAAGCTGGTTTGAGACAAACAAAACATTGCCAGAAACAAGAGATTTGACTTATGCAGAATTCCCTCTTAAGTTTGTTTGGAATAAACAATTAAAAAGATGGGAGAAAAGAAAAACTTTTGTATATTCCATTGGAAGAATTTTCTTTGCTCCGCCTGGAACTGGTGAATTATATTATCTTAGATTATTGTCGCATGTTATTAAAGGTCCAAAATCCTATGACGATCTTAAAATAATCAACAATCATAACCATCTCACTTTTAGAGTTGCATGTTATGCACTTGGGTAATTGGATGATGATAAAGAGTATGTGGATGCCATATTGGAAGCAAGTAACTGGGAAATGCCATCATATCTTAGGCAATTATTTGTTATGTTGTTGTTATCCAATTCGATATCTTGGCCAGAATATGTTTGGCAATCAACATGGAAATTATTATCAGAAGATATCCTCCATGAAGAAAGAGTGTTGTTGACTAATCCAGGTATAAATATAGACTTTCTATTTTTAAGTTATCAAATAATGTTTCAGCGTCTGTATGAAGATATTTAAGTAGTTATTTGTAGCATAATTACTAAATATAGTTATAAAGAGGATAAGAATTACATGCATACACACTTATAGTTATTTTAGTGTACATGTGAGTATATAACCAGTCTAGCTCAAAGCATATTTAAAGGGTTAACATATTGAGTCTTTAATAACTCCACGACTAAATTTTGCACAAAATTTAAAACAAAATCTACAAATTTTGAACCTATATGAAACTCTTTATATTTGATTTCTTTACTTAATTCTTTATAATTGATATTCTTTAATTTATGACCTTTATGTTTAAGATAATATGGAGTTTCACGACATAGAATTCATAAGTTCTTTGTTGTGTAAATCATTATTATAAGCAACTAATCTAACTAAAAAGCTAAATTAAATATACCTTATTTGTGTAATCATGTAATATATTTTTTATATTATTGTTATTTAAATTCTATAATTCTTTTTGTTCTTTCAGAGGCAAAACTAACAGATGATGAATTGAAAAATCGTTGTTTCCAAAAATTGGAAAAAGTTTTTGAAAAGTTGTGGAAGAAGTTTTCATGATTTTCCAACAATGCCAAGACCTCTTTACAATGAGGAAGAAGTTGACCATAACAATATGTTAATCCATGATGAATTGCGTTATAATCGTCGTTCTCTGTTAGAGGAACATCAACAATTATTAATAAATTTGATAGTTGAACAAAAGTTGGTTTATGACAAAATTATGAGGGCAGTGAATGAAGCCAAAGGTGGATTCTTCTTTTTGTATGGTTATGGTGAAACTGGAAAGATTTTATTTGGAAGACTCAGTCTTCTGGTATACGATCTAGAGGAGACATCGTGTTAACTGTTGCATCAAGTAGAATTGCATCTCTTTTTTTTTACCAGGTGGTGGAATAGCTCATTCGAGATTTGTAATTCCTCTCAATCCAACTGAAGATTCAACATGCAATATAAAAGTAAGGTAGTCCTCTAGCAAATTTGATTATAAAGACAAAGTTGATTATTTGGGATAATGCAAAATATTGTTTTGAAGATCTGGATCAAACTCTTAGAGATATTCTTAGATTTAAAGACACATCCAATGCTGATAAACCTTTTGGAGGTAAAACATTTGTTCTTGGTGGCGACTTCGGACAAATTTTGCATGTCATTGCAAAAGGATCTAGGCAAGATATTGTTAACGCTACTCTTAATTCTTCGTATTTGTGGACCCATTGTGAAGTCTTAAATTTATCAAAGAATATGAGGTTACAAAGAGATCAGTTAGATGCACATTTGGATGAGTTAAAAAGTTTTTCTGAATGGATTTTAGCAATCAGTGATGGAAGGACTGGGAGTTCCATTGATGGCATTGAGAAAGTCCAAATCCCCGATGATTTTCTCATAAATAATTGTGATGATCCAATATCGCCAATTGTTGAAAGTACATATCCAGATTTCTTTAACCATTCCAGTGATATTGATTGCCTCCAGCAAAGAGCAATTCTTGCTCCGACTCTTGATATGGTAGAGTCGATCAATGAATACATGGTTTCACTCAATCATAGTCCTGAGAAGACATATTTGAGTTCTGATACAGTTTGTATGTCTGATCATTCTTTTTCAGCTTTGGAGCACGTACATACACCCGAATTCCTAAACAATATTAAATGTTCTAGAATTCAAAATCACTTTATTACTTTGAAGGTTGGTGTTCCTATGATGTTGCTGAGAAATATAGACCGGTCATCAGGATTGTGTAATGGTACGAGGTTGATCATCACAAGACTTGGAAATCAGGTTATTGAAGCCAAGGTTTTATCGGGTAATATGGCTGGACAAAAAGTGTTTATCTCGAGAATGATGTCGACGCCATCAGATGCAAGAATACCTTTTAAGTTACAGCGAAGACAATTTTCAATTGTTGTATCTTTTGCCATGACAATTAATAAAAGTCAAGGCCAGTCATTGTCTCATGTGGGATTATTTTTGAATAAGCCAGTATTTACTCATGAATAACTGTATATTGCTCTTTCGCGCGTGACGAGTAGAAAAGGGTTGAAAATTTTAGTTTATGATAATGATGGTCAAATAACGAATGAAGCTAGAAATATGGTGTATAAAGAAGTTTTCCGTAATTTAGTTTGAGATGAATCTAGACATGATGGAATTATCAGATATTTACAATATATTTTTCTGATTTCTATAATTGCTTTAACTTTTGAGTAAAATAACTGTTGATTATATTTTCACTGTATATTTCCAGTATCTATTCTCATCTAAGGTTTTGATAATTTATTTTTCTCTTCTGATTATTTGGCCCTTAACTATTTTTCTTTTGTAAGATTCCATGGATGATAATAAGATGATTTCTTCTACAAAGATCCCTGTCAAGAGAACTAGAGAAGATAATGGATCATCTCTAGTAGAAGTTGATGATGATGTTGCACAATTATCAAGCAACAAGATCAAAAGAGTGATTAAACAAGAGAAAAAATCCATGAATGACTGCATTTACTTCATTTTAAATGATTTTATTGAGGCAATTGCATAATTTAAATTTTAGCAAATATCTTTATATTATGACTTTTAGTCTGAAGTTACTTGACTCTTTATGTTATTGATTTAATTGATATTAGAATAGCTACTGGCAAAGTTTGAAATACCATACTTGAATGTTTATGTTGTTATATCAGTCAAAAATTAATGAAAAAGAATTTATGAATGTTATATGTGAGTTAAGTGAATGAATCAAGTGTTGAGTAAGAGTTTGTGTAGTTGAGGTTTTCGTACCTACTTGTGTTTGTGAGACTTCATACTTCTGATACAATTTTTTTGTATGAGATATAGTATTCAATAAAATGGAAAAATAAGAATCGATACTCCATCCTTTCAGCAACAGCAGCCCGATTTAGAAACATGGAAAAAAGGTAAAAAATGTAGGCACCATCCTTCAGTCATCTTTATGTATTGGAGACCATGTGAATTTTTACTCTGAGATAGCTACCTTTTAAATTCAGCATCCGTTACCATACTTTCATAGCAAATGATTAAGAGTATTAAGCGAAAGAAAAAAAAAAGGATTGCATAAATGTTCCTAATATATTATAAATGGCAAAAAATCACAAGCTACCTCGGAACAAGTCTACAACAATGTTTCCAATATACCATTTCATTCTTCAGTAGCAGACTTCCCTATGATAATTCCAGTGCCAATGTCCTTTCGTATGTGATGAAGATATACACCAAAAATTTATAGGAAGCCAAGTTCATATATACCTAATTAGAAATGTGTCTATATTGTATTCTTCAGATAAGCTAAGCACTTATCCTTTTTTCTATTTAATATAAAAAATAAAACACAGAGATTTATCAAGATGATTAAAAGTTGAATTGGTTTCAAGTTTAAGTGAGGAAAAGAAGATGAAGACTGGGGTTAGTGGTGAACAAAATTTGCACTATAGTTAGGGGTGTTCAAATCGAACCGAAAAATCGCCACAAATGCATGCAGGATGTAACTATATGTTTCTATACTGCGACTTTAACTGAGATTGCTGATTTCTACTAAAGCAATTCATTTGCTTCATGTTTTTAGTATTCTAAACAGACGTGGGTGATGTAAATCTTATGTTATAGACTGGACTGCAAACCAATGTGTTGGATGTTGTGACTTTTGTCCTTTAATCAAGTTTGTTGCTTTCTACAAATTGCAGAGTATTCTTTGCTATGATAAGTTTCGTTAAAATAAACTGCACATCGCGCAGGTCCTAATACATATTTTAAATTTAAAATAATCATAATTTATATTATATGCTAAAAAAAACGGGCCAACTATTTGTATAAAGATTCCTTATTTTGATACTCACAATTGATGTTTCAAAAAATTAATAATGTGACACATAAGTCTTTATTATATATGCATATTGCAAAAGAGACTAATTCATATGTATCGAGACTCGAGAGTGTTAAAAAAAAGTTATATTATCACGACATTCAAAAGACGTTCATAGCTAATTCTCCATAAAATAGTGCGAATTATAATTTCGTAAATAAGATATTTTACCTACTATAATAAGTAAAAGAAGTCTGATAGCTAAACAAATGTAAAATCCACATGGGTATTTGAGACAATCTAAGTCTATGACATGTCCTATCAGTTTTGAGTCTAGGCTCACACGGATTTATCTTTCGAACTATACCACATCAAGCACAAAGAAATTCAAAAGTACGTATACCATATGAACTTGTGTTGTACCTTATAAAACCCTTCTCTTTCCTCTCCCATTTCGATGTGGGATTTGCCTAAGGTGACATGTGCACCTGTTCTTCAAAAACTTGCCAACCTACAAGCTTGCTAGTCCTGCTTGACCTGCCCTCGACGGCTCGCCCCCTTAGGACTCAGTGTCTTCGTTGAGATTTGTCCCACCATCGTACTAAGGGAGAGTCATATTGTCCGCTTTGGGCCTAGGCTCGCATGGATTTGTCTTTCGAGTTATGCCACATCTAGCCCCAAATCATGTGAACTTGTGTTATGTCTCATAAGTTTTTCACTTTCCACTCTTATTCTGATGTGGAATTCGCCTAAGGTGAAATAACCTCTTTCTTCATAATTTCACCTTAGGTGAATTCCACATCAGAATGAGCGTGGAAAGTGGACTAGTAGCCACTTTTAAACCTGTTGTTTAAAATATCTCCACAATTTACATTCTATTTAAAGCTTAGCCAATTCACCCAAACTTCATAACTAAGTATCCTGAATTTGGAATTCAGGATTTAGTGTCCTGAATTTTTGAGGTGCTAATTTGAAATTCAAGACAAAGTATCATGAATTTCTGAACTACTAATTTAAAATTCAAGAAATAAGATTCAAACTTCTAGACACAATTTTCGAACTTTAGGACACGATGTCCTGAAATTTGAACTTTGAGGTTTAAACTTCAGGACGTCATGTCTTGAAGTTTTAACGAATTGGCTAATTATTAAATACGTTATAAATTGTGGGTATAGTTTACACATCATAGGTAAAAGTGGCTACACGGTGTCATTTCCACAAATCTTTTCAAAAAATAAACTTGGTAAATCATGAATTTCATAAGAAGGCCTATTCGTTATCGGGGCATTTGCATCTATATCCGCTTTTTGGGTCATCATTTAACTTATACCCGCATTGCAAAAAAAATAAAATTGCAAGCGTACCCACTTTTCGCGTAACTTCAGACATACAGGCCTGAAGTAGCAAAAATTTATATCTGAAGTTTGAACTTCAAAACTTTTTGCCTGAATTGTAGCAAAACTTCAGATATTTTTGTTAGGATATACTATAAACCATGCATATTGTTATAGTATTCTTTATGGAATAATTATTTGTTTATTTATTCAATTCAATAAAGTTTTATTTTAAATAGATCATGTATTTGTTTGTGTGTCCGTTGCTTAAATAGTATATGATTTAGTGTATAGAGTTTAACTTATACACGGAAGATTAAATCATCGGTTCTTATAAGTCATAAAGTTTATGTTCACAACCTAATGATGGAATTGGACAAGCCATCGGAATGGTTGTAGCACAAGATTAAAATATAATTTATCTTGATTATGGGAGTGGTCTAATTCCAACTTCTTGTGCTAGTACATTTTGTATGTATTGAACGGATCAAGTAGAGATAGGTATTTTATACTGACTTAATAAAATAATTTCTCTAGTCCATTCAATGTACTTATACTCTTAATCTTGATATAATTATTATTAGTTGTGTATATCATTTATTATTTTGATTTATTAAAAGGCGAGATTCTTTCGTGGGTCAATAAGCCTAGTAAGTAAGACAATAATGATAAACATTGGCGAAGTAATAATTAGTTGATAGAATCCATGTCTCGGTTTTTTGAAATTGATGATACTCCTTTATGAAAGTTTATAAGTTTTCATGTGTAAACACGGCCGATGGATTTTGTATCCGACACATGAAATAAGTTGAGTGAAAGTCTAAAGGAAGTAATCAATAAATTAAATTGTCAGTAATTTAATTTGATTGGTTAGTATCTGAATCTTAACATGAGGAGTTAAATAAGGTTTTATGGAAGAATTTCGAAATTGAACTAAGGAGTGCAATTACGAATTTTTAGTAAAATAATTCGTAATTTATTATGGTAGAAATTAATTTCAAAATTTTGAAATTAATTTCATAATAAGAAGCCTTGTTAATTAAATTTTGTGGTCCCTACTGTGCCTGAATAATAGGAAATAAAGGAAACTTTTCATTAGTGGAAGAAAAAAACCTAACATGTTTTGGAAAAGGGTTTTAACCTAAAAAAACGTAGCTATATATACATGGTATATAGCTAGCCATTTTTTGCACTGAAAAACACACGTTTTTCTTCCTTAAATTTCGCCCACCCGAAGTTCTTTATTTCCGATTTTTATTTGGGTAACACAGTAGAAGACTGTGGAAGGTTGCCAAGGTCTTGCAATTTTGGAACTGGAGAAGGATATCGATTTGCTTTGTTCACGCTTCAAGAGGTAACTCGTATAATCTCCGTATGTGCTAATTGTTTAATTTACACGTGAATAAAATACTGTCTGCGATATATATTCCAACAATTTTTGCATGAAGTTTGGCCTGATTTGCAAAAACAATCACGCAAACTTCAGTTCATAGTGCAAATGGCAAACTTCAGTTCAATAAAACTACATCATGTCTTGGCTGAAGTTTTTGTTTGTAATGGCTGGACTTCAGCATTCTAGTAGCTGAAGCTTTGTTCTGTATTTGCGAAACTTCAGCATATTTTAGCTGAAGCTTTGTTTTGTATTTGGTGAACTTCAACATATTTTATCTGAAACTTTGTTATGTTTGTGATGAACTTCAGCATTCTAGGGCTAAAGTTTGTTTTGTATTTGACTTCAACATTCTTAGAGCTGAAGTTCTAAACAACAATGAATTTAATAAATCATGATTAGCAACGATTGATGTTGTTCATTTCAAAGATTAAAGAAAGAAAAATATTTTCGACATGAAAAC